GAATTTAGGCACAAAAGCCATTATAGGTGTTTATAGACCCTGTAAGAACACTGTATGAAGTCCTCGTTAACCTCTAATTTTGTTCATATACCAAGGTGGGGTGATAGGGGTGCAAGGAACAAAACAGGAATTTGCCTACAATACACCCATAGTGATCATATTACAAGGTTCACACAAATAAACATTACCATAAAGGTCCAGAGAGGTCTGCTACAAAATGCCAGTACGTGAACAAGATGAGACTATCGCAATGAGCAAATTGCGTGATCTGGGAGTCTGTCTAGGACCTACGATGTACTTTGTGTGAGAGGATGTTTTTTTAAATGACAAGTGTATCACTTGGGTGCTCCGACTTGCATTTCAGGCGAGGGGATCCCCACTGTGTTTGTCAGTGTGGCAGGTAGAAGCAATGGCTTGGGCCCTGTGACATCTGGCAACACTGTGTTCCCGGTGATCAACTGCCCTCCCGTTTCGGGAGAGTGGGGACCCCACGACGTTTGGTCTTCGCTCAGGCTGCCATCTGGTAAGGACACACTTGCATATATGAGGCTGGTTCATTTCCTCAAATATCCACCTTGTTAGGTATAGCTAACAAATTAGCACTAGGGCATTCACGGTAGAAAGGGAGGTAGACCGTTTCCCTGGATTATGGATGTCAAAAGGAGACGAAACTTGACCATGGTAATTTTATGGGATAAGCACTGTTGGGAATTCATAGGAGTTGAATCTCACTGGTTTTTATTGTGCATATACTATAGTAGATGGATTCAAGAGCGCTCTGTCAAACATTATTGGCTAAAGTTTATTAGACTTGTGAATGAGGTACGACTGTTTACATATTCTGTCTCGAGCACAGGAAGTTTGGCTGAAGTGCGTGGAGTTCGAGATCATTGCAGTTCAGACTTGGCTCATTATAATACTTAAGGGTACAAAGCATAAACACACACACACTGAGAAAAAGAGTGACAGCTTCAAGAAGACAAGCGCGCTTGCCAAAATATCTGCTCACGACATCCGGTGTTAACAGCGTGGGATTGAATCCCGGCTGTGGTGGCTGCGTTTTTGATGGAGGCGAAAATGTTGTATGCCCATGTGCTCAGATTTCGATGCATGTTAAAGAACCCCAGGTGGTCGAAATTTCCAGAGCTTTCCAATATGGCGTCTCTCATAATCATAAGGTGGTTTTGGGAAGGTAAACCCCACATAACAACCGGTGTTCACAAATTTTTCTTATCATTAAGCTACCATCTTCCCCTCAAATGTGTAACTTCAACAGGTTGTAATAATTCGAAGCTATGCAATTATTAGCTGCACTTTACAGCGCAGCTTAACAGCGCAGTTGCATTGGTTGAGCTGCTTTGGCAACATCTGTACATCTGTATACCACTACGATCTAGGGGGACTATTGGTGACTAGTTGCATGCTAGCATTCTTTTCCACTACCCGCTACGGTGGTCCAGTGGTCATGGTGCTAGACTACATACTTGAAGGTCGCGGGATTTAATCACGGCCCCGATTGCCGCATGTCAATAGGAAGCAGAATGCTAGAGGCTTTTTACTTAGATATAGGTCTACGTTAAGGAACACCAGATGGTCGAAATTTTCAGAGCTCTCCACTATCGTCACTCATAATTGTAATGCGATTTCGGGACATAAAACGACAACAATCATCATATTTGTCAGTGCAGTGGCATACCTTGGCACTTGCAATGTAACCGCGTATAGTGGAGGTCCGAGCTATAACACGAACTCTTCCGACTTTCATGTTTCAGGCTTGGGATGCACCACAGTGCTTTTCCCAGAAGCAGCTGCCTTGGCTGCAGCACAGATCCTGGCAATGAGTGACCATGTCATTTGGGCAAAGCTTCGTGCGTCACAACTGAACACATGGGTGTCTCTCAAGATGGCCGACAAAAAAATCAAGCAGGAGCAAAAGGCATAAATTGCTAGACAATAGTCAGCAAGTTAACTTCACTTCTTGCACTAAATCTTTCTGTTGTTCTTTTTTTATAATTTGTTCTACCTCTGTGCATATATGTGACTAGGGTAATGCTAATGGTAATGCTATGAAAGTGTTTCTGTGTAGTCTTGGAAGGCAATAAAGGCACGGCTGATGCCAACTGTTCAATATTCTTTATTATGACAACAAGCTTTTTTAAATGTGGCTAGCACCAAACTCGAACACCAGTACAACACTTATTAGGCAAAACTGGAATTGGAATGTGACTGTGAAGATTTTGTCATTCTGTCACTTATGTTACTATGGAGAACTGAAGGGACAACCAGAACTCGTAATGTAGAAATTAAGCGTTGACGAGGGACTCAATTTGCTACACAACATGCACGCATAGGAGGCTGCCTGAGATATCTAAGGGTATGCTTGTATGCGAAGTTTCCAGAGACAAGAATTTGTTGCTACGGTGAAATTCTAATGCTGGCCCATGCACCAGACGAGCAGGAGGTCACTAGTGCATACTGGCACAGACTATGAAGCATGGATATACTTGCTGCATTACACATACATTGCAAGTTTAAGCAGTTGGCAAAACAAAACTGCAGACATTCACACAACTACCATCACAACCAGTTCGTTTCCTTGCACATTTCAAGGCACTTCAAGAGCTACCTTGACTCGAGCAACAACCCTAACTATGCAGTGAGCCCAAACATAATGGCATTGTAAATGCAGAGCCCTATAAACAAAGCTTTTGAATCATTAAAGTTTCCTGCAGAAAAAAATGCATGGTAAGGCTTGCAAATCCTTGTAACAGGACATGGAGCACTGTTGAGCACCAACTTTTCAACCTAAAAGCAATGTATACTAATGAATCGCTAAACTAGAGGAAAAATAAAAAGTTGCTTGTCCTACTTGAAGTATAAGTGTTCCAAGACTCGCAGTAAATCTTAGACTGCATTCTTGCAGAATTTATTATGCATCTGTGCCATAGCTGCACAGCTGGACGCAAGTAAAACTATCTTTCCTTGGTGCATGTTGAGCACTGCAGAGAAAACTACAGCATCATTGAATTTGCTGTCGCAAAATCTTGTGAAATAGAACTGCACTCGGCACTTGTGCATGAGGAGGACTGCACAAAATGCTGATTATGCGTTTTGTTCAAGCTTCGTTGCATCCTCCTCCCTGTCTGTCATTTGCATACCATGTATATCTACGAGATTGCTAGAATGCCCAAGTGTGCACATGGGTATTATCAGGTTAGTATAAAGGACACAGTTGACTGATCAAATCATGCCTATAGTGTTGCTAGAGACCTAGTTAGATCATGCTGCAAGCAAATTATAAAGTCTTCGAGCATTTATGCATAAATGCTTAATCACTCTATACCACTCCTACAGTCTCTCACAGCTAGCAACTTTTGCAGCTGTAACTTGTCACTCTCTCCCACCACCTCAGCATTGCAGTAAAAAAAAATGTGACTACATTGCGAGGCATTTCTCTGCTTCATATGTATGTAGTATGTAATGTAAGTTTCTCAAGGTACAGGTGTACTTTGACATGCAGGGTGACATCGATGGAAATCACTCTTGGCTCTAGAAATACAAACAATACTCGGGATTTCGCAGGAAGGCAAAGGCTTGAAAGTATTACCATGGGTCAAGCAAGGGATGGCATGGGTAACATTTGCACATAAGGACCAACCAAGACAAGTCTCCCTCCTTTTTTCAAATATTGGCTCCTGTCTAAACACGGGTTATGTTGGCTTTAGAGACGCCTCACCTTCCTTGTGACTTGCAAGCAATGGATTAGTGCTGCCTCCTGACATCGTCATTATCAAATGTGGCAAAGATGCAGCGTAATACATGAAAACCTTTATGCCTTTTGCCACTCTGTAATGCTGCAGACACTGCACAGCTCTTGCACTGCGAGTCATATAATGGACAATGCATTCTCTCTGATATTATGTACAACACGCTGTCATACACAAATAAGCACAAAACCAGCATAGCATGAGTTCTTTTTTTTTTAAGCACTGCTATGTAAGAGGGTGCTTCAAGTTCCTTTGCTATACTATCTAAAAACATTGAACCTAGTGCTGTGCTAATAATTTAGCACTATGATATGTCTCGCCAAAATCGAGGCAGTGCATTAGGGATGAGTAACACAAAATCGAGTTTGACATCTATAAAACTGCACATTTCCTTGTTCTTGTTGAAGTGAGAAATCTCTTCAAGTCGTGAATAGTATTGGGATATAGTGTCATAGTTGCTAGAATGGCTGAAAGAAACTAATACCACGAGCGACCTTCAATATATATTTAAAATGTGACCATCTGGAATTGGTGGCATTTACAAAAATAACAATGATAGTGGAGTTGCTTTTCACTGTAGCTACAGTGATGGCATAAATTTGGCACATTTTCACATATTACAACATAATTTTTCACTGAGTATCTAGACAATGGAACTCAATTTTGACAGGGAGTGGAATAAAATGACTGATCCACAGTAAAGTGCATGCCCCAGTGATAGAACTGCATTCGAGTACACCTTGTAGCCATTTCTAAAAAAAAGTTTGCTCCATGACGTCCCACATAGCGCATTATACTATCATTATACTACCATGAACTTAGAATGTTCAATATACTCTGATCTTGCACTCGTAATTTACCCTACAACCGTTCCCCAAAATATTACAGAAAGACCATCTGATACGTGCAACTGCAGTGCTTCACACAAACACTAAATGGTGCATTAGTCCAAATAACACACACCCCCCCCCCCCCCTCACACACACTTTCTGCTCTGTTCTTTATTAAGGTGAAAGTGTCTCGTGCGCAGGTCTCTCCATTCGTTCATCCATCTGTCAGCCCGTGCCCAGTCATGATACAGACCCACAATAGTGTCTCTGTTTTCATTTTGAAAACTCGGATGTGCTGGTACATTTCGTGCTGGTATTCTGAAATCGCTGCTCAGCCAAACATAATAATATTAGCAGTAATGACAAACTTTTAATTAATAATATGGGTAGTTCTTATATTTGCCTGAAAAACAGTACTTGCGGTTTGAGCGGAAACCAGCTAGCATGACTGGATTTCACAGGAAAAGGGCTGGCATGCTGGCAAGCGATTACATGGCAAGCGGTTTGGAGAAGCCCCCCAAAATCTGGATTACCTCGATACCAAACGCCATTACCAAACACTATATGTGCACAGAAAAAAGAAAGAAAGAAGAAGAAAAAGACCTGGCATAGTCAGTCGAATGGCCACAAGCTCTTCCCGAACACACTTTGGAATTTAAAGTGTTCGATTTTTTTATACAGCCCATACCTTCAAAGACGTGTCTTTAAAATTATTGCCCCGCCGCGGTGGTCTAGTGGCTAAGGTACTCGGCTGCTGACCCGCAGCTCACGGGATGGAATGCCGGCTGCGGCGGCTGCATTTCCGATGGAGGTGGAAATGTTGTAGGCCCGTGTGCTCAGATTTGGGTGCACGTTAAAGAACCCCAGGTAGTCGAAATTTCCGGAGCTCTCCACTATGGCGTCTCTCATAATCGTGTGGTGGTTTTGCGACGTTAAAGCCCACGAATCAATCAATCAATAATTTAAAATGATTACCATCACTTTCTATAGCACATCTTGTAATGCAGCCATACACAACAATCGGGTACTACAGACATTGTGGGAGCCAACGATGAAGAGCAAAGAGAATGAGAAATAAAAATAATTGTTCCAGCACAAGGTCCAGACACTAGGCAGTGTTTGTGTGAGGGGGGGGGGGGGGGGTCATTACAGACTTTTCTGTGGCCACATGATGTGAACCCAAGGGCATTGGAGTTGTATTAGCAAAGAGATAGTCAAGATGGTTTTTACCGGCTAACCATAAACTGATCTTCGAACTTATAAATGATTTTGTGAGATAAATCACAAGCTCTTTACAGCAAAGGAAGGACATGTTGCACTGGCATACATAAAAAACATCTTTTCGCACAGCATGCCTAATTCAGTGAGACAAGACCTTTTGCATTGACCATTGCCTCCTAGTATAAGTAAGGTATTTACCTTGACAATAAAAATGAGCACTTCATTTCAGGTAAACATTCTAAAAAGTATGATGTACATGCAATGGACTACCCAAATAACTGCGAGATTTGTCTTGCACACAACTAACACCATTAGTGATTTAACTACCGTGTCAGCTGAATAGGTCATTGAATTGAATAGGTCAATAGGGGCAGCTGGCGTGCTTTTTTAAGGTTTTTGTGGGCAATGTGTTTCGTGGGCCAATCTGTTTAAGCCGAGTGCTTTGAAGGGCCACTTGTTGAATTGCATTTCATTCATAGATTACATACGCAGCAGACGCCAATACTCTATCATAGTTTAGCATGGAACCGATGTCATTTGTGAGAAGCAGTTATTTTACATAATACTTTACATAAACAGCCATAAGCCTAATAAAGTTTTCTTTCAATAAAGTTATTAAAAAGGCCTAATAAAACTCGTAACACAATCTAGTTAAAAATGATACATGACAAAGTTTGCTGTTGATTAACAGTCAGGAATATAACTACAATGCAGTTGCTTTGGTTACATAGTAAGAAAGAACTTAACACCTGAAAGTATTGAAGGGGATCTCACTCAACAATAAGCTCCATACATATGATGTGAGCATTAGTATAATTTCTCACAGAATCATTTTATATTATACTATATGCAAATCAGCCTGGTCAAAAATTATTTTAAGAGTGCAAAGTACAAGGTTTTGAAAAGTGTTCAGTCACTTTTGGGTACACCTTTTACGGTTAACAGAATTTGCAGGATGCATATCAAGTTTTTTTTGTTTTCTATCATAAGCCGCACATAACTTGTAACACCATTACCCGAGATTCCTTCTGATGACTAGTACTTGTTTAATTACACATGACTACGAACCTTACGTTCGGCAGCGAACAAGCAACTACTTATAAGCAGCTGTTGGAGTTCACACTCCCTAAGGCTCCAGCGTAGCTGGGACAACTTTGTTGTCCACTCAGACCGAGACCACTGCTGAGGAGGCCGCCCATCGTGCTGTTGGGGCATGTACGTCTTCAAATCTTGCAAAAGACAGAGAGAGAATATGTAAGAGTCCCTCGGTGTAACACAGTGAGCACATAAAGACTTGCTTGCGGATGTGGTTTTTTTCAAATTGTGGATGAAAGTAAAGTGAAAGAAAGACCCCACTCATGTTCGTGATAGAAAGTGTTTCAGGGGTCATTTGTGATGCAAATAAAGATGACAGACACAACCAAGCGAGCTGAACAGACAATTAGGACAGGGAAAGCATGGAAGATATTAATTGTTGTCTTTTACTGCAGTGTACTAATTGTGATGTTAATTAAAGTAAATTGAAGTGGATAAAAATCACCCTTCTCATTAGTGGAATTGGGCATTCCATTATAACATAATAACAAGATTAATATTAAGATCAAAATTTTGCCACAATTAGTACATAGTTAAATAAAACAATTAGTAATTATCTGCTTGATTCATTTGGTTTTCCTAACATGCAAATGGGGCCCCCCACAATATTCTTTTCTTTTGTTCATATAAAAATAATCCTAATTTCTACCAGCGAAAAGTCGCTGCGTGCAGCAAACACAAATCATGCTGTCAAGAACAAAGTGACAGCTGAAGAACCATCTTGTATTGCTTTTTTAAAAGATTGCTGCAGTACAGTGATTGATGTGCTGAAGTCTATTGGAAAGGTATAATTTTATAACCTCAGGCTAGCTCGTGTAAGCATGACGTCAGAGGCAACTAGCTCTGTTTGCCTCCCTCCACAACCAGAAGCTATTCTTGGCGTTCACCGGGAAATTGGCTGTTTACAACTATACATATACTAGAAAGAAATAGAGCTGTGTTGGTCATTCAATGAGCAGAGCAAGCAACTTTTGGCAGTCCGTTGATCTAAAAAATTGGTTTCCATGGCTGAGGATTAGGTGGCGTGATGAAGTTAGGAAATAGGCAGACGAGAAGTGTGTAGTCGGGTGTTTTATCCTGAAGCGGATGGAAGGTGTGCTTATTAACTATTTGTAACTTTTCTGGTTTCCTCTTGAACTGACATGTTTGTGTGCATGAAATAGGTACTATTTGCACACAGTCCGCATTCACGAGGTATTTTTTAGGGATGCATGCATGAGGATCATGTCGAATTTCAGCACTGTACTGCTCTTGCTACAGTTTCGCTGGCTTTGCTGTGCAAAGTCACACACTGGTGGGTTAGAGGCTATTGCGGGCATGACGAAATATAAAGCAGGCGCTTACAATGTGTCGGAGCAGTTTCATGAAGTGCACCCATTTCCACATGAGGAATATCGGTCAGTGCTCTTACTGTACGATGAGGAACCAGGTCGGTTGATGAGGACGGCACCAGCTGCTGCAAATACAGACATAGAGTTTGTCCAACAAAAGTGGCTGTTGAGACCAATGTGCCCGGGGCATGTACAAAAATGCACATAGACCAAAGACTATGATGACATAACATTTTGCAAGGACATGGTGAAAATACCAACAAGACACTCATTCTGACTGAGTTAATGATGCAGTGGTTTTGATTTACAACATTTAATGGCACTAGGATACCGGCAAAATAAAATAAAGGTCTGTGCAAGCACCTGCACACAGTTACCTGATGCAGTGGTTTTGTATTGCACGCAGTGTGGTCAGGTGCTGCCTCAATCATTGAAAAATGTGCTCCCCTAGATACCACAATTAATTAACCTGCAGATTACTAAAGCTTAACATGTAAAATTGCTAGTATATAACTGAATTATGACCAATAACAATATTTCCCATTTCGCACTCCCTCACTGTGCAATCTGTCTTGAGATCACGGTTCAAGAAAAATAATTTAGGTGCGGACACTCTCCGCAAGCTGCTATGGAGGTTGCGTCCAGATAATGTTCGGCTCTATTACATGCGAGCTTGAACGGAGCAAGCGCGACATGGCAGACGCATGTTCTTTTTTTTTTCTTCTTGTATCTTTTTTAAAACACCATGCACACTATTAACTAAAGCTAAAAACACAAGCCACGCCTTTTGCGGCTGAAAAACGCTATGTGCAACGAACGCTGCAGTTGCCTCCACAGTGTTCTCCTGTAAGAAGCGCCGTTACAGAGTCCACATACACAGCTCGTCGTCTATAGTACACACGACAGCCGCAATCGCGTGGGGGGCGCTGCGACATGGGGGCTGGAGAGACTGAGAGCGCCGAACTTTATCTGGACACGCCGAGGGGCGAAGTGTCCACACCTAAATTATCTTTCTTACAACCTGCTTGAGATAGATTTGGCTTTCTATCTGTTTAGCCGTATCTCTTAAGCTCTCAAGCTGTTTAGCTGTAGTATTAAGATCGGCAACAAAACTCACCTTTATGGACGACACTACCAAGTCCTTGCTGGTGATCTCAGAGCCAGAAGTATGAGGAACCACATAACTGCACATGTGTAAGATAATAAACATTATAAGCCCATTTCATTATAAGGCAGATTGATTGCATCAAGTAACATGCTCCTAGTGGAACAAATAGATTGACGAATGACCTGACCATTGTTCCCAATGACCTGACCATTGCATGGCACACTAACCGATCACCAAGACAATGAATAATTCTTTGATTATTGACACCTCTATATGCATGCTCAATGTACCATTAGATAACTTGATCAATCTGTGTTTTCAAGCTGTGCGACACAGCGCTTAACAAGCAAATATACAAATTTACCGTCCCATTATGCTGTAGTTGCTGTACTGAGTCGATAGGTGGAACATAAGATAGGCCTTTGCCCTGCAGTAGGCCTTTGCCCTGCAGTAGGCCTTTGCCCAGCAGTAGGCCTTTGCCCTGCAGGCTGATGATGACGAGACTGTAATAGAAGCACACACAAACCTCTAACTAGCAACACACCAGAACATCAAGCTAGTCTGATAACTAGCAGTACGACCTCATCGTCTTCGCCACTTGCTTGTTCCATAACTAGCAGTACGACCTCATCGTCTTCGCCACTTGCTTGTTCCATCTTTTCTTCCCACAGCAGCACATACAACCCTTCCATCATTGATGCCATGCAATACAAGCTGATCAGATGCTCATTGTAATATAAATATATGATTCAAATGTTCCTTTTTATGGAGTCTGCTACTTCAATTCACAGTTCCTTTACTTGAACTAACATGTAGGAATAGCGAAGGAGTGTAGCTGTTTACACTCAGTCATTTCAATGTTATGCCTTACGTTAGCTACCAACAGTCTTCATTTAGACATACTGGTTTCCACGTTCAATTCATAAAAATAAAAATGGACATTTTTTTTTTTGCAGCAAAGCTGTTTAAGTAACTGGTGACTTGAGCTCCATTTGTTGTGCCAAACTTCACACGTGGATACGCACCACAGGAACTGGCCAAGTCGCACTACTATGTACTATAGGTGCAAGCATTAAGCGAAAACTCTGCTAATTGAAGTGGAACATTTGAAACACGTGAAAAAGAGAGCAGGCAGGAAAGCAACATAAAGATAAAGTGAAACTATAAGGAGAATAAAGACGCAAAATGGCAGAAAGATAGAGAAAGACATGATAGGAAGAGTAAGAAAGGTATAGAAACTGGCATGGAAAATAAAAAAGAAAGAAAAAACAGAGAGTAAGACAGAAAGAGAAAGAAATAAAAAAAGAGGGAGACACAAAGAAAGAAGCACTGAAAGAGAAAAAGAAAGAATGAGAATGAATAAGATGAAAATAGAAAAGAAAGAAATAGAAAGAAACACATACAAAAAGGGATACGAGAAACAGAGAGGAAGAGAAAGAAAGAGAAGAAAGAAAAATAAAAAGAAATAAGGAAGGCCACACAGCCAAATTCTTCCTTTAGGCTTGGCGTCACTAGTGCGAAGCTGCCAATTATGTTTTTTTTTTTTGTAGGCAAGTTCGCTAATGCTCATCAGCAACCTTGAGGCATGCAAGTTGCATCAAGTAAATGGAAAAAAGCCGTTACCTTGCAAGAGCATCCTCAGCAACTTGCTGAGCAGCACGCAAGGACAGCTGCAGATGTCGATGCCGCAGGTGAGATAGCCGTTGGCCGAGCCGGAAGAAGATCCTTGTGACCCAGTGAGGAGCGACTGGATATATTCCCTGCGACCGCTCCCTTGCTAGTTTTGCTGCTCTCGCCTTTGGTTTTTGTTCCAGGTGAGTCACTGTGTACGAAGCACAATGTTCAACATTGAAACGCTCGAAGGCCTAGTGCTGAGGACCATTCCTTAATCTACACACTCGGATTGCTAACGTTACTTGGCTCATTACACGAACCCATGTGAGAAACAACTTGTTAATTATGTGGCCAGGTAGTTTACACATGGCATTTCTCTCATCTTCCAGGAATTTATATTGCATACTGCGAGGCATACCTTAAATAGTCCATAAACAACCTAATGGTCTATATTTCTGATGAAAAAAATAACAGCACGCTGGTACAATGTGAGCATGCTGCCTCAAGAGCTTTGCAAGTAAGTGCTGTATTAAGAAAGTTACAGGGTTTAAATGATTTTTTTTTTTGGCTGGTTTCAGTTTTTTGCGCGTTCTCTCCACCTTTCTCTCGCAATGGACAAGGGTAGGCATAGCCCTCTGTCGCGACTATGCCCACTTCATCAGCATAACACAACATCAGCAATCGCATCATCGGTGCACAGCCAACAACTGAGCAAGGTTTCCACCAGCGTGCATGTGTCATAGTGGCGCGAGGAAGAAGTGCTGTGCGAGGAGTATGGGGCACTGGTGGGGTATGCACCCTTCCCCTAGCAGTAAAGTACCGTATTTACTCGATTGTAGTGCAACTGCAATCGTAAAGCAAGGGCTGACTTTTTGCGTCTAGACAGAAAAAATTGTTATTTAGGTATTCAACTGCAATGCAAGGGTCCACTTAAGGCAGCAAAAATAAAAAAAAAAATTAGAAAAAGAAAACTGCATTATATTAGATTAAATAGGGTAGCGAAACACCCCTTCACCTCAGAGGCTCTCCTTCTGGCAACGCCACTAGTTCGGGTAGTCTTGGGGTCTACAAACCGACCAAGCGCAGCACAGAAAAATGAAAATGTGGACCCCGTGGCCAGAACTGCATCAATGCAGGACTAGGGTGCCGTATCCAAGTGTGAAGGACCAATCTACAAGCTCAGCAGTACGAAATGTTGCCTATGGCCAAGATTTGGTCACTGTGCATATTAGGATTATCAGACAGGCGTAGGAAAGAGGCGAGGGAACTTTTTTTTTGAAATGGAGGGTCTGCACGGTGCGTAGTGCTGTAATGTTTGCAAAATTTGACCGCCATGGTCTATTATATAAATTAGCAAGCTCATTTGCGGTGTGTAAAAAAAGTCGGAGCCTGTTGACTGGCTCTGTAATTCGCTAGTTTCATCTAAACCAGCTGCAGTTACTGTACGCAAGAGTTGGATGCAGTATGGTGTTATGTTGCATTGACTCGCTGTGTTCCTGTTATAAGCAGAGTGTGAAGAATCACACCCAGCAATTAATTTTTAGGGCTCAGTCATTACTGTACTTTCGCCTTAATGGTCCTAAGATATGCTCTCTGTGATCACGTTTTGATCATGCTGATAATTCCAGCTCTGTATTTTTGATTTAGCATCAAATCAAAATGTATTTCGTGTAGCTCCTAACCTTTGTGCCTGCAAAATGTGATATTTTGGTAAACAGAAGACTTGTATAGTTTCTACAACATCAAAAATATTCTATGCTACTCTTTTACGTCTGACAAACTAAAACATCACAACCTACTAGTGTCAAGCCCAACAGTGACACACTTTCGCCATGAACTGGCATCTCAAGCCCAGGTCCTCCTCACCCTAGCCGTGCAGCTCCTTTATCATGGGAATGCTGGCCTTGCTTCTCATCTGTGATAGCGTGCTTGTGGTTTTGAGATCTGTGAGTAAGTGAACTGGTTCTAAGTTGAATTAGTTCTTGCTTAGCAGATGCTTTCAACTGATCTCTGATTCGCTGGTACTTGTGGACTTCCCGCTTCAATCGCTCCAACTCAAACTCGAGTGCCTGCTTCTGGGTGAGCAGGTCTCGCACGACAGCAGGTTCATCTTGATTGCGAAGAGTGGCAGTGTGAGATTCCGAGTCAGTGTCTGTTTGCTGCACCAAGGAAGCCTGTTAAGAAATAAAAACAAAAATTTCAAGTACTGCACATGCACACAGCAAGCGCGATAACATGTTGAGGTCTTGCTACACGGCACTGACTAAAGAGATTGGTTGATAAAATGAGACATGAAACTAAATTACAAACTGAAGTTCATTTTTCGAGCCTGATGGAATGAAACATGTCAGCATAGGACTAAGTAGGAAACATATGTCTGTTTCCACGGTATCTGCATAACACTGGCATTGTATTGGCTGGTACACTTACATCATGGCCAGCATCACCTTTTTTCAAATTTCATGGAATGAAACATGTCCACTTAAGTCTAAGTAGTGCACTTATTTTCGCTTTCACCATATTTGCATGACATCAATGTAATATTGCTTTGCACATTTACATCACTGTCAACATCTCCCTTAGCAGCCACATTCATAGTGGTCTAGTAGCTAAGGTACTCGGCTGCTGACCCGCAGGTCGCGGGATCAAATCCCGGCTGTGGCGGCTGCATTTCCGATGGAGGCAGAAATGTCGTAGGCCCATGTACTCAGATTTGGGTGCACGTTAAAGAACACCAGGTGGTCGAAATTTCCGGAGCCCTCCACTACGGCGTCTCTCATAATTATATGGTGGTTTTCGAACGTTAAACCCCACAAATCAATCAAATCAATCAACCACATTCATAGCTGCACAATGTGGCATTCTCTACCAAATGCACATGCCAATTGTTATACTAGAAGATTTCATGATGTATTTCATTACAGGAGTACTGTGCAGGTGAAATGAACGAGACAAAATTAGAAAGGACCAAATAGAAGGCTGCATAATCAATACCAAAATCAAGGAATGCAGAATAGACAAACATAATCAATGAATAAACTTCACTAATGCATATGCCTTCACATCGAGGACTACAACTTGGATATAAAAAGCAAACAGCTCCTCTAAAAGCCTTATCAAAGCTGTGAGCAGTCAAAGACTCTACAAAAGCTATAAAAGACAAAGATGGAACAGAGTATTAATATGTGGTCACAGATGGTTGCAGGTAAAAAAGAAAAAGAAATGTTAAGAAAGAATAGAAGGTGCACATTGTGAATAGGTTTCTGAGATAAAAAATGACACACAGAATGATGATTTTGTTTAATGTGTGGTGTCTGCATGGCATCTATAACCTTAATGCAAAATGTACCAGAGATGGTGCTTCTGCATTATATGAAAGTGACAGTTCCTGCTGAAAGTGACTGCTGTAGACCAGGCACTACTGAATGCAACAAATATAACTTATGTTTATTTACAAGGAAACTATCTTGAAGATACTGTGCTCACTGATATACACACATCTGCAATAGATCACTGTGAAAATTTTGATTTCATACCACTCAATCCATCAAAATCACTTGCAGAGCATTAGTACTCACCCAAACGTTATTGAGATGAGGGGAGTAGATCATACAGAAAGCAATTGTCACATTAAACTAGACTCTTAATAGAAATGTTAACTTGCCCACCTTCACTAAAGGTCCTGAAGCCGCTGCTAGCATGTGAAGGTTGGTCGGACAAGACTTGGAGAGGAATCCCTTTTTCCCTTTCTTGAGACGAGAGAATGGAACAACAGTGCGTTCAACCTCCTAGAAAGAGAATCTGCCGCTGACTGAATGCAAATTACAGCCGAATGAAGTGCAGTAAAATAAAGGGCTACACACCGAAGCTTTTGCAAACGATGACAAGGGTGGAATGTCATCTAGAGATGACATCTGAAAAATCATCGATCACAATTGGAGAAAATTAAGCAAAGTAACCAGGTTGCTCAACGGACACATAGCAGCCTGACTACACTGTTGTGCACTGATAGGTGACTTTACCTCTATAACTGTATCAGAAAAGACATGCATAATTTTCTTGTGCGATGTAATGCTATGCAATACTTACCAGTGAAGCACCGCTGTCTTCTACATTTGACTCTGCAGTAGCGGTTCGTGCACATGCTTGAGTCTCTCCTTCTTGACCACAGCTTTGTAGTAAGAATCCAAGGGATGCTCCCATTTGGTCTCTTTCGTAACCGAATTGTAATAGTAAATCCTTCCCTGAGGATCTTCCCTGCAAGAGAAAAATTAATGGAACATATTCAAACAAAACAAAAATTGTTAATTATGCACAATATATGTGCTATGTTGTTCTGAACCATGTAAGTGCAGGTTTATTGCACATAAGAGGTCAAAATGCGAGGTAAAAAAAAAGAAAAATGAACGCATCAAAGAAGTCAGACGTCGTAAGCAGGGGGGGGGGGGGGGGGGGCATGGCCAGAACGAGGGACACCAAAAGCGATGAGCCATTACTACAGCAACTCACGAAATATTGAGCACTTATATTTTGTTATGTTAGGCGTTTCATGAAAGTAAATACATGAATGTTTATCTAGTATTTCATGCGAAAAAGAAAGGAAAACAACTTACACGGGACACCACGGTGGCGGCAGCGACACCTCAAGACCGGCCTGAGCAATCCAAAGCAGATTTTGCTCATCTGGAAGGACGATTCCTAGGTGCTCGGCGTACAAATGAATATCTGAAATGAACGAGTGCATGCCTCTAAGTGGGCCCAAAATATGCACTCTCACGCACAAAAATGTAACGATCAAAGGGGAACTGACCTTCTTTCGTTGCATTCGCCGAGCTACCAATCTCTTTCAAAATCTTTTGACCATCCGGTAGACTGCCGTTCATAACGTTCTTCGCCGATCGAGGAACAACATATCACGTCCAGGGTGCAACGGAGATGTAAACACACAAACCTACTCACTAACAGGACGCTAAAATGTTAGTTCAGCCTTTCGATGCACTTTCGGTAGCTGGCAGGATGCACAGACGCTGCTGTGCTGCCGTCTACACGAGCGCTCCTATTGGTTGGAATGTTTCCTGGGGATAAATCGGGAAGGACGTCGAAATTGTGAAGACGAGCATTCCCAAAACCGAAATTGCCTATTAGGGATCAGGCAGAATCTAAAACATGGCGGCCATGACGCTAACTGCTTTCTTAGCCGCAAGAAAGCATAGCCTTTGAGATTTGTAACTAGTGCTCAGGGAAGACGAACGTCTAGTTGAGATAAAGCTATGCAGCGTTCTTGTTTACGCAACATTTCTTAACGCCGTAATTTGCTTACGCAAATATCACAGACTTGGAGTCTTTTCCGCGGCTTTTTCTGCATTTTGAGGTCTTCTAGCTGTTCATTTTGTGTTTTGCAAATACGTAGTAAAAACTGAAATGAAAACAAGTTTATCACAAAGATACCTAAAGTTCTGCATTATTAAGCAGCTGAACAGCAGTAAAACAAGATTCAAATCTCGTAACTTCGAAAGTGCGGAGACCGTGATAGCGCCTGTGTTGTTGTCAGCGGCATGTAGGTGCGCGTCTGCAATCAAGCGCGAGCTACCGCGAATCAAGCGCGAGGCAACGCTTGCGACAAAAGTATAGTCAATCAGTGAACTACGCAAGCATGAGATGATGTCGTGCAAATCAATACAGGTTCCTCGGATTCTGTTGCAGCTATCCTGAGAAAATGTACTCCGAATTCCTTAGCGATCGCATAGAGCGAGTGAAGTCGCAGTGCGCTAGTGTTTCGTGCTGCTCTGCACCCCACAATTCTGACGAAGAAAATGTGTTTAAGGTAGCTTATCTCAGTCTGGATATTTCCTATTGCGAATTCTTTCTGCGATATGCGTCCTCGAATACGCCGTGCATCCTTTCGCCGCAAAACACAAGCGATTGGAGAAGTCGTCGCGAATGGGTCGACAGCTCCGGCCGTCCGAAGCTGGGATTCCTCAAGTCTTCGTTCGGTGAGTTAGGCAGTATAGAATTGTCTTTTCTCTCAGCTGAACTCAATTGTTTGTGCTTGATGGCCTCTCTAAAACGTGTCTGAAATAGAATAGCATCCCCCCCCCCCCCCCCCCCAGGATCAGCCACTGTGCCCGTCTCCGACTGCAGCGTCAAGCAGTACGACTCCCCGTCATGTTGTGAGATGACGTTTTCCGAGTATGTGGACTACTGGCAGACACTCATCGACTCTGGGCACGACTACAGCGCGAAGCCTTGCCTCTACCTCAAAGACTGGCATTTCACGAGGTAATGAGCACGCGGAGGCGCAGTGCAACATCACTATTACAGTAATACCCTAGCTCGCTTCGCATAGGGCTAATCTAAATCTTTAATGAAAACGAAGTATTCTTCGCTTCCAGGGCCAGTTATTGAGTCCCTACCCAAGCATATCAATATGTCCATCCAGGTCCTATTGAAATTACTGTCTCAACATAGAACTACATTTTCTTTTTGCGCTGCTTTTGATTTATATTAACAGCTGCTTTGCGATTTCCTATTGAAACTGTAGTTTGAACGAATCGATGGTTCGGGCGAGTAGGTAATTCGTAATTATTAGCTTTATAGCGAAGAACTTGCATGAGAGGTAAAGACACACGACTAACTTAATTCCAAGGGACGCTTAATATCAGAGATCAGAGTATATACCGTGAAAAAGAATGGAGGTGCCAACTACACTCAGTCACTTGACCACATCAGCATGTGTGCTTTAGAATGATTATTCACCAACTGCCATCAAGAAATCACATTTCTCTTGGGGAAAAGATAAGTGAAGGTGAGCTCATGCACTTGTAATCGTCACAGTTCAGTGTTGCACATTCCGGAATCTCGTGTGCACACAAGGTCTTCGTCTCTAAACAATACTGCGCTGTTGGCAAAAGTACGGAATACACCCACAGTCCTGGCAGTGTAACACCAGATATCCTTGTCTTCCCCTTACCCCATTGCAGCTGTGTTCCCCTTCATTTAGGCATCGTCCTGCTTTGCTGTTTGAAAGTCTTTTGAATGTAGCACCCACCTATATTAATTTCATGTAATTTTTGGGGAATGCCATGTTTGCACTAAGTGCACCACACCAGAACTGAGCTAACTATTAGGAAACATGTGTTGGCACCGTCCTTCAGTGTGAAGATGTTGCTTGCCTTTCACTTCTCTTTGTACTGTAGCTTTAAAGCATCATGACTGGGTAAGTGGAACACAACGATAATAGCTTTTTATAGTAATACTAATTCATGGGGTTTAAGGTCCCAAAGCCATGATTGTTAGTTCGCACTAATATTCTGTCTAACAAAGAAAACAAGCCCTTATATTTACACTTTTTTTTCATTCGTGGCGATGGGACTCATGCTGGCAGGAATGATGCCTTGAGGTGGTATTATTTGAAAGATTAGTGATCAGGGGGGGAGTGGGGGGGCTGCCATCTCATAATAAGATCATGTACTACATGACTCCAAGCAGGCAAGAAGAGCGTTCCATATGGTAGAGCATCGAACGCATTATTCAAAAATTGCAGGTTTGGATTCTGCTATTGGCAAGTTACCTTTTCATCCACTTTGTTTCTTCTCATTTACATTACAATTACATATAACAACATCCCCTACAGTTTCCCTGGCATTATTGTCTGTTAGTTCTCACTGATGTTGCGTCTAATAAAGAAAACTAGCCCTTAAATTTACACTTTCCTGCAGTCATTATTTGTACTTTGAGAGGTGTTGCATTCTGCTGTGAAACTGCACTGAAAAGTGCTAGCGAGCAAACATCCCATGACAATTTAATAATTTGGTTTGGTATTTGTTCTTGTTTGTTTTCCTTTGTGCAAGTTGCCATTATTGCCATTATTTTTTTTCAGGGATTTTCCCACTTATGGCCCATATACCACACCAAAGTATTTCACTTCCGACTGGCTGAATGAGTACTGGGACCTTAGGACTGATGTGAAGGATGACTTTCGCTTTGTGTACATGGGACCCAAAGGATCATGGTAGGTTGCTGGTTGGGGTGAAGCTGTGTGTTTTTTTTTCTAGCCTTAACATATGATTAGCATATTGCTACGGGGTGCCACAAAAGAACATTATAGGAAAGGGGACGATGTTTAGGGTGAGCTCGTGCAGACTCGGCTCCATATTGTATGCCTGCCTGTTTACCTAAAGTAAAGGTATTTTTCAGACGCCTTCTCCCCGTAACATTTTGGTGGAGAGTGCAGGTCTTCCCACAGTCAACAACCACGACGATTCTATGCAGCGGACGTTCCTTGGCTGCTTGTGCGATGCCTGATCAAGACGAGAACGAGGATTCTTCTGAGACTACCCCAATCGTGCTTCGTCCAACTATGCAGCAACCAACAGCACCGCATCCATACGCACTTCTAACCGCACCGTCGTCCTGACCCAACCGCGTGACCCAGGCACCTTTTCGGACAGTGACAGTACTGACGTAGAAGAATGGCTTCAGCTGTACGAAAAGGTGAGCGCTCTGTACAACTGGGATCCGACGCTCATGTTGGCGAATATTATTTTCTACCTTGATGGCACAGCTAAAGTTTGGTTTTCCAACCACGAGGAAGATATCATGAGTTGGGACATCTGTTAGCAGAAACTCATCGATCTCTTCGGCAAGCCCATCGGGCGTCGTCGTGCTGCGCAGAGAGAACTAGCGTGCCGACTCCAGTCCTGCACCGAGTCGTACGTACATACATACAACATGTGCTCACCCTCTGCCGGAAGGTTGACGACAAGATGCCGGAATCTGAAAAGGTCGCGCACATCCTCAAAGGAATCGCCGATGACGCCTTCAATCTCCTCGTATTTCGAAACTCATCTACTGTAGACGACGTTATTAATGAATGCCGATGCTTCGAAGACGCGAAAAGTCGCCGTATTACTCCACACTTCAAGCGTCTTCCCAACACGGCTGCAACATCTACCTGTGAGGATGCCCGTTTGCCACCAGCCCTTGCTGCTTCCGACAATATCATCCGCCACGAAATCGAGACAGCATCTCCCCTGTCCGACCAAGTCCGGGCCCCCGACGACTCTCGCGCCACGATTTCTTTGATCAAGAGTGTCGTGCGCCAGGAACTGGCCAACGCCGGACTTCAGACGCTATGCCCCATTAACCGACCTGACTACCGACTGCCCAGTACACCTAATATGTCCCGCGGACCGAACAATCGCCCACATTACCGGAACTCGGCAGAATGGTGAACTTCCGATGACAGGCCGATCTGCTTCAACTGTGGACGAGTCGGCCATATTTCACGTCATTGCCGCACTTCCAGGGATTGGCAGCCATGGACGCATTATGCACACACCCGACGCCCACCTGCTGGTTCTCGGATGCCGATCTACGGGGGAACTAGACGATGCTTCGCCATCCAGGACCGCCCTACCGAACCGCTCCCCGTCGCCCTCTGGACGCATGTCCCGCTCAACTGACCGACGTCGCTCTCCCTCACCCTCCTACTGCCAGTCTTCGGAAAACTGATGGGCACAGCTCCTAGAGGTGAGCCTGCTTCGACGACTCGACCCGAAATTCCTCTACACACGATACTTGGACACAACAACTTGATTAAAGTAAATGTTGATGGTACTTCTGTGGCAGCACTCATTGACACTGGCGCTCACATATCAGTCATGAACTCCAGCCTTTGTGCTCGACTCAAGAAAGTACTCACTCCTGCTCCGATCACTGTTGTCCGAGTAGCCGATGGTGCAACACCAGCGGTCACTGGGATGCGTGCCGCCCGCGTCACTGTTGCTGGACGTCATACCACTGTTCTTTTTTACGTACTGGACCACTGCCCTCATGACATCATTTTGGGACTCGATTTTCTGTCGGACCATTCCGCCCTAATTGACTGTTCTGCTGGTGTTGTTCAGCTCGTTCTACCACACGCCGTTGACCCTCCTGATCCTGCACCGCCAAAGCTATGCTCCGCCGACTTTGTTAGCCTATCTTGTCGAGGTGTGACGTATATCAACATCTCTTCTGATCCACCTGTGGCTGAAACGATTGTCATTTCGCCGAATCCTACAGTCCTGTGTTAGCTCAATGTTGCATTCCCCCACACCATCATCACAATGAAAGACAACGTGGCATGTCTCCCTATTGTGAACTTTGGACTTTGCTCTGAAGTGCTGCCATGAGGGATATCCCTTGCAACCCTTGCCCCGGCCGGCGACTACCACATATCCGCCTTAATAGAGTATACACCGTCATCTGCCAGTATTCAGTCGGGCAGTACACTAGACTGCATAACTAAAATGATTGCCTCTGATCTCCCGGCCGAGCATGTGTCTGCGCTTCGTGGCCTTCTTGCGTCGTATCAAGACGTCTTTGATCTCCACGACCGACCCCTAGGTCAAACAACCGTCGTGAAGCATTGGATCAACACCAGTGATGCAAATCCAGTACACCGACGACCCTATCGGGTTTTCTCCACCGAGCGCCACGTGACTTAGCAAGAAGTCGACAAGATGCTCGCCTGAGACATTATTGAACCTTCTTCAAGTCCTTGGGCTTCGCCCGTTGTGCTCGTGAGAAAGAAGGATAACAGCTGGCGCTTCTGTGTCGACTACAGAAATCTTAACAAAGTTACAAAAAAAGACGTGTATTCTCTGCCACGGATAGATGACGCTCTTGATTGCCTTAGTGGAGCAAACTATTTCTCTTCCATCGACCTTTGTTCCGGGTACTGGCAGGGATATCCCTCGTGGCATGCAGTTACTCGATCAGTTGATGATCTGGACCGTGAAAAGACAGCATTTATAACTCCCGACAAGCTATATCAGTTCAAAGTAATACCGTTTGGGTTATGCAATGCCCCGGCTACATTCGAACGAATGATGGACGCTCTTCTTCACGGTTTCAAGTGGTCAATCTGCTTATGCTACCTTGATGACGTCATTGTTTTTTCGCCAACTTTCGAAACTCACCTCGAGTGTCTCTCAACAATTCTTTCGGTTTTCCGCAAAGCAGGGCTCCAACTAAACTCGTCGAAATGTCTCTTCGGCTGCCGGCAGCTCACTGTCTTTGGACACTTTGTCGATTCTTCTGGTGTTCGTCCTGATCCTGAAAAAGTCCGCGTCGTCAAGGATTTCCCTGTGCCAACCTTTGCGAACGACGTTCGAAGCTTTGTGGGCCTCTGTTCTTACTTTCGTAGATTTGTGCGGAATTTCGCTGACGTCGCACGCCCGCTCACGAAACTACTAAAGAAAATGTGACTTTTGTGTGGGGACCTGAACAAGCCAGAGCATTCGTTGAACTGACAACTAGACTTACGACGCCCCCGATTCTCGGCCACTTTGATATATGCGCTCCAATGGAAGTGCGTACCGACGCCAGCAACCACAGAATCAGAGCCGTTTTGGCACAATGACAGCATGGCTGCGAGCGCATTATTGCATACGCTAGCCGTCTTTTATCGCCAGCAGAGCGAAATTACTCCATCACAGAATGCGAATGCCTCACGCTCGTCTGGGCAGTGGCTAAATTTCGGTCGTATTTGTATGGACGCCCGTTCACGGTTGTCACTGATCACCACGCCTTATGCTGGTTGTCGTTTTTTAAAGATCCTAGTGGATGTCTCGGCCGGTGGGCTTTACGGCTACAGGAATATTCCTACATGGTTGTCTACAAATCAGGCCGCCACCATGAGGATGCTGATTGCTTGTCGCGTCATCCAGTAGACCCAGCAGACCTTTCGGAGAGCAATGAGTCTGCTTGCGTTTTGGCACTTTCCGCGTTCAGCAACATCGCAGATCAGCAACGCCGTGATCCTCACCTCATAGATATAATCGTTCGGCTCGGTGGTCCCACAACTCCTTTGTCTCTCCGTATGTTCCTGCTCAAAGATGGCGTATTATATCGCTACAACATGCATCCTGACGGTCCTGAGCTGCTGTTGGTCATACCACAACATATGCGTCAGACTGTCCTCACACAGTTGCATGATATTCTGACAGCTGGTCACCTGGGAGTTTCAAGAACTTATGACCGCATTCGATGTCACTTCTTTTGGCCCGGTATTTACCAATCCGTCTGCCGTTACGTCGCCTCATGCAAATCCTGTCAACACCGCAAAAAACCAGCCACCCTTCCAATGGGACGCCTTCAGCCCACTCAGATCCCATCCGAACCATTTTATAGGGTAGGTGTTGACTTACTAAGACCGTTCCCTTTATCGGCCAGCAGAAACAAGTGGATAGCAGTCGCCACGGATTACACCACTCGGTATGCCATCACGCGGGCCTTTCCTACCAGTTGTGCGACCGACGTCGCTGACTTTCTCCTAGAAGACGTCATACTACACCACGGCGCTCCTCGGCAACTGCTTACCGATCAGAGTCGCTACTTCTTATCACAAGTTATCCAAGACATATTACACTCCTATGCTACAAAGCACAAGTTCACAACGGCGTATCATCCTCAAACCAACGGGCTCACGGAGCGGCTAAATAGAACCATCACGGACATGCTCGCCATGTACGTTTCTTCCGACCATCGTGACTGGGACTCTGCCCTCCCATTTGTGACATTTGCCTATAACACGTCCCGGCATGATACTGCAGGTTTCTCGCCGTTTTTCCTCCTGTATGGACGAGAACCTACGTTGCCTTTTCACACGCTCCTTCCTGCCATTAGCCACACCTCAGAATATGCCTGTGATGTGATCTCTAGAGCTCTACAGGCACGTGAGATTGCTCGCCTGCATCTGAGCGATTTGCAGAAACGACAACGACTGGTCTACAACGCGTGCTGTCATGATGTCGACTTCAGTCAAAGTGACACAGTCCTTCTCTGGTCTGGACGTCGTCACGGCGAGTTGGCCTGTGCGAAAAGCTGACTTCACCGTACTCGGGTTCGTACCGTGTGGTGCACCAAGTCACCGACATGGCATATGAAATTGAACCTCTTAACACCACCAGCGCACGATCTGGTTCTGACGTTGTTCACGTCTCTAGGCTGAAGCGTTATTACTCGGACCAACCAAGCACCGAGACGGTGCCTTCGCCGCCAGGGGTGATGCTACGGGGTGCCACAAATGAACATTATAGGAAAGAGGACGATGTTTAGGGCGAGCTCATGCAGACTGGGCTCCATATTGTATGCCTGTTTGTTTACCTAACGTAAACGTATTTTTCAGACGCTTTCTCCCCATAACAATATATTGTATAAGTGTTCAAGGTACAAGAAGTGGAAGGAACAGGTGGGTTTCTGGTCATTTGCTCTAGAAACAATGATATCACAATGGGCAGGGATAACATGAAAGGGGGTGCAGTGTGTGTCACCTTTTTATCTTCATCTCCTACATGCGAGTCCTTTCCCGACTGTGAACAGTATGCGGTCATTCTGGTTGTTCTGAAGCAACACTCTGCCCTCTGTGGTGGTCTTGTGGTAATGGTTCTCAAATGCTGACCCAAAGGCCACTGGATTGAATACCGGCAGTAGTAGCCACATTTCAATGGAGGCAAAACACTAAAGGCCAATTCGCTTAGATTTAGGTGCACGTTGAAGAACCCTAGGTGGTAGAAATATCTGTAGCCCAGCACTACTATTTGGGACATTAAAGGGAAATATTAAATAGACGTTGATTGTTGAAATATTGGTCGAGAAACCTCATAGTGCTACTTTCATGCCAAGAAAAGGCTTATTTTAAATGTAAAATAATTTTTTAATTGTCGATATGGTGTTAGTGCCCTTCAATTCACCTGCCTGAATGGGCCATCTGATGTAGCAGTTGCCTTGCCGAATGTTGCCCACGTTTACAGTGCAGAAACCAACACTATTAGCAGCAGAGCGGAAGTAGTGGGAGCCACAACAGCAACAACGGCCATCGAAGCTTGCTGCGATAGATGTCCGGGAAAACCTGACAACAAGACAATGGCTCACAATGCTGGTGCAGAGGCATGGCACTCTGCTACTTTTGAGCGTAGGGGTACATTTAGTGGCATCGAGTGGAAAGTCACGTCGGTTTCTTTGCTGCAGCTCAAGTGGCATAAATCATTTGGCCATTCGGCAACATTACATACATGCAGCATTTTGTTGAAACTTCTCTCACAGTAACTTTCGTAAGCATGCAACGCAGGTACAGCAGCACGCAATACTGAAACTACCAATGAGATCTCATCTCATAAGCGAAGCGCAATTCAGCAAAAATGGAGCTTTTGAACGACTAGCGCTGTTCCCGATAGTAATGCCAAGCGGTTTTCCTCTTCGTGAACCAAACAGAAGTGGACAAACAATATTTTATTACATTTTGTAATGCACGAAGGTTCTTTTTTTGTTGCTACTGATTTGTTTACTAGTGATAAAAGTGTACTCAGGACTCTCGACGTTGTCGGGAACATTAAAAAATATCCCCCTCGTGGCATGTATGGTGTCGTACATTTACCTTAATTTCTCGATTAATAGGGCATGCTGTTGGTAATATTGACATTATAAATGTTCTCGACCATTTATCTTTCACTCTAAAGTAAATTGTTATTTGCCTTTAGTGCACTTAAGCTGTTTTATTTTTTGTGTTCAGAGGTGTCAATGCAAATCACTTGATGTTACATTTGTATTGTATTGGGATGTTAACACTCTAACTAAATCGATTCTATGATAACATTATCTCAGTGTTTTGTGCAGTGTTTGCGTTTGCCGGAGTGAGAAACCTTCTTCTAGAAAGTGAAAGAATTGTAAATCATATTGTTAAGCTTTTCCTCCTTTTACCAAAATAACTCTGTGGCTTCTTTCTGCTGGATTTATCTTGTTTGCCTTGAATTTATGTTTGGGCTTCCGCATCAACAAGCTTCACGCTATCTTCAAAGTAAACAACACATTGTCAGTGCCGTGTAGTCAACACAAGGAGAAGCAAAGTGTAAGAAGTTTGATAAGATGAATCACACGCTATAATATTGGCATTAGTTGTAGAAGACAAAAATTTCAAATATAACCACCTCGGTGACTGGGAGTGTGATGGCTACAAAGGTGTGTATGCTAGCTCTATCCACTATACAGGTGTTAAGCAAGCATATGGCCAATCATGGCAGTTTCTGATGTGATTGTTGTGTCCAGGGTCAGTATTTGTCACTGCTGTAGTGTCAGCACAATTAGCGAGAGGTAGACTTTCGAATTGACAATGTGTTGTACATTCAGATTCTTACAGCTCAATGATAATTTTTTCTCATTGTAACTTTCTCACAAAGGATTTAGATATTATAAAGACGGCACTGATAGACTTTAAATTATGAAGTGGTAGAGTCCATAGTAGCCATTTCAGTTGCATACATGAATGAATGTGGAAAGGTAACATTCGTCGCAAAGATATTAACACACTTGATGTAGATTTTTTATTGTATTTATCCTGACACAAAATATGTAAATGAGAATTCTTGAGATTGCATATCATGTGCACAGTCGTCAGCAAGCTTAACACAAATGCTCCACAGGGTTTCTGGAAAACAGCTTGATTGATGCTAGCGCAACGTCACTATGGGTTCTGTCACCAAAATGTTACTCATGCATGCCAGCATACCATCCAAGCATAGCGAGGTATTATCTCCGAAGCAGTGCCCAGTGCCTCGCGGCTGCCATTGGGCAAACAGTGCAAGTCAGGTGTCAAGGTGTACGTGTTAATTATTAAAAAAATGCTTTAGATTTACTTCGAAATACGAAGTTATGGAGGAAACACGAAACAAAGTGGACACTACAAGCACAAACTATCAACTGAGTTTATTGAAAAAAAGTTGAAGGTAAGAAGACTTCCAGAGAAGGGAAAATTGATTTATGATAGAAGAACCGAATTTATTGAAAAAAGTTGAAGGCAAGAAGACTTCCAGGGAAGGGAAAAATTGATTTAGTATAGAAGTGGGGGTTGGGACGGGTGGTCAAAAATTTTTCTGAACTTTTTTTAATCATGAAAAACCAACTAGCCCAATACCTCACTTTGCTTACTTGTTAAGCTTGCTGACGACTTTACACCATATGTGCAGTATGATGATGCATACAGCCTAGCATGTTTCTTCCTCGCCCTCAGCTGTAAAATTCGTTGGTGACTAGCGAGTAACCACAGTCTGCTGTAGTGCAGCAGCACCATCTATGTTTTTCAGTCAAATATAAAGGAAAGCCTACTCTAAGGTTCGACAGGGGGAGGCATGTTAAAAAAACTCTCCTCCCATTGTTCCTCTCTGAGGAGGGCCGGTGACACCTTGCAGGCCCATTGATTTTAAGGTGTATGGACGCAGAAGCATATAAAAGCAGCCAGCGGGAACGAAGGAGACGGAGAGAACCCCCTAGCGTTGGAAGAGTTAGCTTGCCGGGAGCCATCGAAGGTGGTGTATCGGAACTGGCTGTCAGATGGGTCCTCATTAGCCCAATGGTTCCAAATCGGGTGTACATAGAGCCCCCCACGAATGAACCAGTAGACTTGCACCTGTGCACTGGTTTTCTAGATGAGCCCTCGCTTTTTCGAAGGCCTAGTAAACCTCATAACTCATGCAAGGCAATGCACTGCCGCCCTAGCTGACTCTGTCAGACCTGAAGCAGTCTGGTAAATACCAGAGCAACCATGACTCCTCTGCAACTCAGGGTGACCCGGGTAGTCGCAACACTGCAGTCTTTCCTGTACCATATTTTTTTAACTAAACTATGATGTAGAGGGCAGGAGACAGCGAGTTTTGTTTTGAGTGCCTTTTCATCATTAAAAGAGGGATTACTGCAGCTTTGGCTTGCCAGTGCCAGTCTGCTTTGCCTTTATCCCGGCTTGCTTTGTCAGTCTCTCTTGTGATTTTTGGGGTGGTTACACTGCTTCATTCTTTTCTAATAGGACGCCATTGCATACGGATGTGTTCAAGTCATTTAGTTGGTCTGCCAACATCTGCGGGAGGAAGCTCTGGTACCTCTTTCCTCCACGAGAGGGTCAAGTAAACAACGGAAAGAGGAACAAGCTGCCATGTGAAGTTGACACCCTTCTGAAGGAGAGCGTTAAAGATGCTGAGGAAGCACAGAGCCTCTTGAAGCAAGAAAGAAATGCACCATACCTAAAGGTCATTCAAAATCCTGGAGAGATTATATTTGTTCCCAGTAACTGGTATCATCAGGTCCACAATCTGGTAAGACACCTGGTACAGTGGTTATGTTGTCTTTGCTGTTCACAAGTTTATGTCACATAGAACTCTCAAAAGGGACAGTAAGTAGGAAATGGTCTCACATGCAATAATCAATAATCCATATACAGTACACAATTGTAGCGTGTGCCACGAGAAGACATTAGGTACGTCACAAAACTTCCAGAAAAGATGTAGGTGTCAGCTCCACCTACAGTGTCCTGCAAGAACTTGCCATGATGTTATGCATTGTGATTATGCTCTGCCATACATAATTTCTTATTTGTATAATTGAATTACCTTGTGCTCTAATACATGGTCTTGGCCACCTGTCGGAGTCTCCGTGAAAAAATACATTCTACACTAATGGAAATGCTGCTATGAACAGCTCACTGGAATTTTGTAGTCGTGCATGGTACATAGATTTCACAAGTTGAGCGCAAAGCTACCATTTGCTGTAGTGGCCCGCCCTTCAAACCGAGGCTCATCTTCACTCTCTTCGAAGGTGCTCATGTCTACCAAGTTTCTTCATTTAGTCGTCCTTGTTATAAGAAGTGTTGATATAAATTATTCAATGACATACGGTTTTTAAGTGATACAGGAAGTACGTATATCTTACACATTTATAACTGGGTTAGGATGAAAGAGGATCTTTCATTCTTCGTTGAAATGTCTCTCGCTTCCCCTCAACCTCAGAGTCCCCTTGCGCCGGCTGCTCTTACATCCTCTCTTGTCCTTGTTAGAGGTGCCATCTGGTTCAGCAAGGGGCTAGCCATTATCTCGTTCACAGCTGTCCAAATCAGCCAAACTTTCCCATTGGGAGGCAGGTGTTGGCCAGCGAAAATTTGGGTGGGAGGTGAGATCTTTTAACTTACCTACTCCCCGCCGAATGAGCCTAGCTCATCGGAATCTTGCCTCTAATGGGGAAACGAGTTCAACAGGTCATTGTACACTTGCTCCCCCTAGCAGGAGCATCGTGCAGGCATGGTTGCATCCATTGTGCCCTGGAAGAACTTCAGTAATTCAGCCAACCTTCCTGGTTTGTCGTGGGCGAAAGTCATACCAAGTTGTCACACAGGTCCCGTTAGTTAGGGAGGCGATCGCCGGGCTAATTCCAAGGGCCGAAGTATCGGCCCCCCGAACCGCACCACGAAAGCGTGGACAATTTAGAAGTGGTCCTTTTTGGCGCGCCAGCGGACGCCGGCTGTGGCCCAAAGAACAAGTCAGAGCCGAGAGTTGATAAACAAAACAAAAATTATATTCTCAAAAATGGCAGATTGAAAACAATACACAAGAATGCACCTCCACAATAGTTGAGTACAATATGTCACCAATCAAACAACGTACTACACAGTACAATCAGCCACACTCGAAACAACGGACACAGACAACTATACACACTACAACGCAGTCGCATGCATTAAACAACCAAGACACTTAAAGACTAAAGAGATAGAAAACCTATTCAGTCCAAAGTTCTTGGAACAAAAGTCTGGATGATGCTCTTCCGAGAATCACTCACTCAAAGTCCAGCGTTGTTGTCGTTCCGCTGCCCCTGAAGTTTCTCTTCCAGGAAACCTCGCCGAAGTTTCTCTTCCAGGAAACCTCGCGTCTTCAATTGGCCACTCTCCAAGCTTCAAACTTCTTCGCCGGAAACACGTCGGCTTCACACACGCAGCTGTTGCCACGCGTCTTCGCTCGATAGCGGTAAACACACACTCTTGCCTGTAGCTAGAGTCGTCACCCCTCAGGTGGAAATCATCTTCTTCTCCTGCTTTGTCTCCACGGACAAAACCTTCGCCGACTACACGGCAGAATCCCTACGCGCTCTGGCGCTAACTTCCGTCTTCTCCTGATCTCTCACCTCGGCTGCTCGATTAAATACCCTCCACGCGAGATTCCAGAAAGTTCTCGTCATTTCGTCGGCGCGATACGCAGCGAAGGCTGGGGAGACGACGAGACGGCTCTAAGGCCCTCCGCGATGGATGACTCAACCCGGCATGACCACGCCTCTTTCCTTCTAGAAATTTTGAGTGCTTGCTCGGCCGCCGATGTGGGGTGAGGAGGTTCGTCGGCGAAGCCACGCTTCCGAGAGGAGAGGGAGCGTGCCCGGGAAGCTTGTTTTCTTTTTTCTTTTTCTTTTATCGTTGACCTCGCGGCGTCACTCCGGCGTTTCGTCGCGAGGAGTTGGCGGCGCGCTCTTTTTGAGCGCTCGTTCTGTGACACTGCCCCCCACTTTAAGAATATTATCTCATAATATTCAAAACCACACAACGAGCACGAACGGTCCCCACACTCTCAAAGACTGTAACATAGTCCGTCGCTCATGACAAGTCACATTCACAACAGATCACTCAATACAATTGGACATTACAATTCAATCTCACAACACATGAAATATAACCACAGGTACATGAGTACAACACTCCACCACATATTCCAAATAATACAAATATACAAAGCTCTCATTACCACAATTGTACAATACTATACATCACGTCACAGCACAAACACTTCGACACTTGTGACACAGGATAACAAGAACATTAACACAACATATAGCACTCAGCCCTGCCAAACACAATTCGATTCCACCTCAGCACCTATCCGGTGTACCTTGAGCGGCGCTTGCGCCCTTTCTTGCGGTGCTCGCTCGATCTCTTCTTGTTTTTCCTCGTTCCTTTTCGGTGAGCCCTTCCCAACGACGGTATCTGAGGCGGCGTCTCCGCCATCGTTGTCACTTCCGACACCGTTAACGGGTCATGACGCTCAACCGATCCTGCCCGGTTATTCACCCGCTTGTTCACGTCCCGACATTTGGCCTGGCTGGCCAACTCCGTCTCCTTTGCACTGTCGGTCGGTTGAAGTCGTGCCGACGTAAGTCCAGTTGCCCGGCCCGTGAACTCATTCGACACGATCATTTTCTCATTCACTGTCTCTTGCGCCGCGGCTTCACCTCGGGCTCAAGTGAGATCCGTCACAGGCTGCTCCTCCACTGTATCTTGCGGTCGCTGGGTTGGCGAGGGCTCTATCTTAGGGTCTTCTCCCAAACATTCCAGATCATTCGGTCCTCGCGCCCCGTCGATGTTTCCGATGACGAGGTCGTACAGGGGGGTCGTCATGCATAGAGCAGTAACCTTCCCGCTGAAGTACGGGGTTTCAACCTCAATTTCTGCTTCGGGAAGCATCCGAGCCGTACTATCAATTAGGCAAACTGGTTTCGTCTTGCCTGTTAACTCACTTTCTCGAACCAAATTTCTCCGCACGATAACAGTGGAGCTGCCGGTATCTCTTAACACCGTAACCTTCTTGCCCGCAACTTTTCCAGGCATCACAGGCATTTCCTTCATAGCACCTCTTTGCTGTTTTGTCACCACAGCACCCACAATAGGAATTTTCTCCCCATTTTTCAACTCTACGAATCCATCGGTGACGGCATTATTACCGGATTTCGGTGCCGCTTGCACACAGGATACCTGGTGAGTTTGACTCGCTCCGTTTCGACATGCGTCTGCTTTGTGCCCAGTCTGTCCACACTTAAAACATTTTACTACCGTAGGGCTCGTAAAGTTAGTACGACAGTAGCTAGCGCGATGACCCACTCGGTTACACAGAAAACATCGCGGAATGCTCTCCGGTGCACGCTTCTTTTGTTCGGGTGCCGAATTTTTCTTCTTTTCCTCGGGAGCCGATTTCTTCGGATCTTCGGGACACTCCTTCTTGACTTTGGCCAAATTAGTGCCACCTTGCGCTTCCAAGAATTGATCAGCCAATTCAAGCATGTGTTCAAGTGACTTAGCTCTCCTCTCTTTCAAGTACAGTGACAGGCTTGGGTGGCAACTAGTAAGAAATTGTTCTCTAATTAGTAGCTCTATAAGCTCATCGTACTCCTGCGCTGTCCCTGAAAGTTCAATCCATCTGTCGAAATAATGGCAAAGTCGGGCGGCATACTGCGTAGCCGTCTCACCATCAGCTGGCTTTCCTGTCCGAAATCTGTCCCGGAATCCTTCCACAGTACATCTAAATCGCTTCAGCAAAGCAGCTTTCACCTTGGCATAGTTGGCTGCATCGGTCGGCGTCAGCCTACCGTACACACTGAGCGCTTCACCACTCAAGCAGGTACTCAAAGCAGTTGCCCATTGATGTTCCGGCCAATTCTGGCTCCTTGCAATCGTCTCAAATTTGTGAAGGTACGCGTCGAGGTCGTCCTTCCTCTCATCAAACGCTACGAGCAGCTTGCTTGGGTTCAAGCGGAAGCCATGATCTTCCCGTTCGCTGCTTTCAACTCTAGCTTGGACAGGAGTTTCACTTCGCTGTTGCAAACGGAGCCGCTCGAGTTCCATCTCGTGCTGCCACTGCCGTTCCCTTTCAGCCATCTCCGCTTCTCTTTCTTCTTTCAGCTGTCGCTCCCTCGCTTCTCTTTCTTCTCTCGCCTTTTCGGCTGCCAACTTCTCTCTCTCCAACTCCAACTTCAATTGTTGCTCTCTTTCTTCCTTCGCTCTCTCAGCTGCCAACCTCTCTCGTTCCAACTCAGCTGCTTTTTCTTCCTTGGCTCTCTCTTTTTCTTCTTTTTCCTTCTGGGTGACCCACTTCCGTAGTTCGGCGCCAGAAAGACCCATCTTCTCACCAAGAGCTACTAACTTTTCGAGATCCATTGTGTTTCGCAAATAAAACCTTGCCGCGTGCAAAAAATATCTGCCTAGATCAGTATATCGGAACACTCTCCTGCACTCGTTAACGAGAACACAGAGCAACACACAAAATCGTTCCGATAGCACTATCAACAACTCGAGGCTCTTTCTCACTACTTTGGACACACTGTGCACCAAAAAGTCCTGTCGCGGACGCCAGAGTAATTGTAACACAGGTCCCGTTAGTTAGGGAGGCGATCGCCGGGCTAATTCCAAGGGCCGAAGTATCGGCCCCCTGAACCGCACCACGAAAGCGTGGACAATTTAGAAGTGGTCCTTTATGGCGCGCCAGCGGACGCCGGCTGTGGCCCAAAGAACAAGTCAGAGCCGAGAGTTGATAAACAAAACAAAAATTATATTCTCAAAAATGGCAGATCGAAAACAATACACAAGAATGCACCTCCACAATAGTTGAGTACAATATGTCACCAATCAAACAATGTACTACACAGTACAATCAGCCACACTCGAAACAACGGACACAGACAACTATACACACTACAACGCAGTCGCATGCATTAAACAACCAAGACACTTAAAGACTAAAGAGATAGAAAACCTATTCAGTCCAAAGTTCTTGGAACAAAAGTCTGGATGATGCTCTTCCGAGAATCACTCACTCAAAGTCCAGCGTCGTTGTCGTTCCGCTGCCCCTGAAGTTTCTCTTCCAGGAAACCTCGCCGAAGTTTCTCTTCCAGGAAACCTCGCGTCTTCAATTGGCCACTCTCCAAGCTTCAAACTTCTTCGCCGGAAACACGTCGGCTTCACACACGCAGCTGTTGCCACGCGTCTTCGCTCGATAGCGGTAAACACACACTCTTGCCTGTAGCTCGAGTCGTCACCCCTCAGGTGGAAATCATCTTCTTCTCCTGCTTTGTCTCCACGGACAAAACCTTCCCCGACTACACGGCGGAATCCCTACGCACTCTGGCGCTAACTTCCGTCTTCTCCTGATCTCTCACCTCGGCTGCTCGATTAAATACCCTCCGCGCGAGATTCCAGAAAGTTCTCGTCATTTCGTCGGCGCGATACGCAGCGAAGGCTGGGGAGAGGACGAGACGGCTCTAAGGCCCTCCGCAATGGATGACTCAACCCGGCATGACCACGCCTCTTTCCTTCTAGAAATTTCGAATGCTTGCTCGGCCGCCGATGTGGGGTGAGGAGGTTCGTCGGCGAAGCCACGCTTCCGAGAGGAGAGGGAGCGTGCCCGGGGAGCTTGTTTTCTTTTTTCTTTTTCTTTTATCGTTGACCTCGCGGCGTCACTCCGGCGTTTCGTCGTGAGGAGTTGGCGGCGCGCTCTTTTTGAGCGCTCGTTCTGTGACACAAGTCGATGTCATGCAGGTCACCTGCTGCTGCCAGAGTGACATAGTTATGCAATCTCAATGTACACAAGCACTCTGCTTGTGAGTGCTTGCATAATAAGTGAGACTGTTTTTGGTGGCACTTCCACTGGTGCGCTGGTTCGGTAGCAGTAGAAGCATTGGTTGTCCTCTGTGGGTTGGCAGGGAGTTTGGCTGTCTTCGTGCGACTGCCTCATTACTCTCTGAAAAATGCTCAAAGGGCTTCCTTTGAAAATTTTCCTTATAGTGCTCATCTGCACAGCTCAATGAATAAATAAAATGTGACCCCTCGTGTTTGTTGTCTCCTGATTGACAATCTTTTATTGTTATGCTGAGGCTCGCTATTTCCCAAAGGCTCGTAGCAATTTCCCAAAAACAAAGCCGAAGCCATTTTATCGCTTCGGCTTTGGCTACACCACAGTGGTTGCCTGGGACAGCCACTGTGGAGCAATACACTGCTGGAGCCGTCTGAGCAACTGGGCTTTGTAGCGTCCATTCAAAGTCACTTTTCACTGCGACTAGCATTCCCAGAAGATTTCAGACTTTACAGCTCACGATGATGCAACCGCTGTCGGTTCTCATGAGTATTTTTCATGTTCTTCCAGTCATTGTGGGTCAGTGATAGTGTCCCTAATACCAACTGTGCATTAATTATTCCACTCAAGAGAAGCAACTTTGTGCTGTGGCACCAGTTTGTTTGAGCAGATCTTATTTATCTCAAATGTACACAATTGAGTGCGTTCACATTATCCAGTGTTTCAAATGTCAGCACATTCAATATTTGCATGAGGTGATTCTGCACAAGCATGCCTTGTTGGCCGTAGCACTCCTTCAAGTTCTCTGTGGCACACTTGTGATTCTTTTCAACCCCGTGGATGCCATTCACCATTACTGCTGCCCTGCGCATCGACACTGTACTTCGGTTTAAAAGATACTCGGTGTTTGAAAGGGTGCTGCTTTCTTTAGGGTCTCTTCCCATCAGTCACAGCTGAACTTTTGTCGTTCCAATTCTGGCAGCCTGAGGGGCCCTGCCTTACTTTAGTTAAATAAGTGGGCTTAGGTGAGCAAAGCTTGGTTTTAAGTTTTGATATGAATGAAACGTTTCTTGGCGAAGACAATGGCCACCTGTTAAACTTTGTGCAGTCATCTGCTGTCATTTGCTAAAGCACCCATTCGACTGTACCTTTCATCCTACTGTCTTTTCAGCATTGCAGAGCTTTTGCGCATCATTTTTTTCTGATTACTTTAGCATGTCATGAGTCCTCTTAAAACTTATGAAGATTGTGTGCAGCGACAAGTTCCAATGCCATGAATTCCATGCGTACTACACCCATGATGTTTCAAACACTTTGTGCCATTGTTGGTCACTTTCGTTATACTGATCTCGCTACTACAGTACACACAGGTGCATATTGTTATCTGCAAAACCACGGGTACTCTGGCAATCACAGGTTTTGTCTCTTTTATGCACGTCACGAGCATAGTTTCTTGCCAGGCTTGTTTGGAGTTAAGGTAAATGAATTTGGTTGACAATTTGCTATCCAGATATAGCTTCTATCGCTTACTCAAACTGATGCCAGACAATGCCAGTTGTCACCAAAAAAGAAATAGCACTTAAAGCAGGTCACAAAAATCTCTAATTCTCATTGCGCTTGATGAATGAAAAACATTTCTACACCAATCAATTTTTAAGGCAAGAAATTTTGATAATGACTTAATTTAGTCATTATTTGGAAAAGTTTTGCAAGGTTTCTTTAATATGATCTTTTTTCATGCAACATATGATACTGAGGAATGCAGAGTGCATTGACATTGCCTTGTTAATCTTTTCAGGATGACACAATTTCAATCAATCACAACTTTCTTAATGCTTGCAATGTTAAGACAGTGATGATCAATCTTATGGCTGCATTAGTTGATGTTCAAGAAGAAATAGCAGCTTTTCAGGACACCGATGGATTCCAGGAGCATTGCCAGGTAAGCCATGATCTGTACAATTGAACTCTGCTGTTACAGATAGCGTGCTAATTCGAAACATTTTAATTGAATCATTTGAGCTGAAACAGATATAGAAGCCATTGGTAAGTTGTGCTGTCTGAAGGTCCTACCAATTTAAATATGTTATGTAAGTAGTACAAACAAGGAAAAATCTTATTTTATTATAATTTGTTTTGCTCTTATTATATGCTCTTTGGATTTAGGCTGGTCCTGATTATTTATTTTATTTATTTATTTAACAATACTGCCAATTTCATCAGAGATTATAGCAGGGAAGGCATGTGAAAACGAATATTTGTTTACACAGATTCATATTGATAGAAAACACAAAAAAGCCGGTATTACAAAATGACATGCAAATCATAGGTTATACATTGCCGTTAAAGAACACGCAATCAAACAATTTTAGTAATAGCAAAACAAAATTATGAACTAAGTTATCGTTGAAAACGACTGCGAAAAGATAATGCATGCATTTGTAATATAGGGTAGGGAAAACAAGTAGGCATTTTTATTGAACAACCTATTCAAATAATTTTATGAACAATAAACTAATCGAAAAACATGTAACTTGAAAATAACAATCATAAAAACAAAACTTTTGTATTAGCAATATGGCACTGACTCGTTTATTTTGTGTATTGATGATGTGATGTTAGTGCGATTTGCGAGGCAAGCAATTCTTTTTCAATTGCAGCTGTAAATAAGTTTATGGATGATTCAGTGCTTAAGGTGGGTTTCAGCGAGTTCAAATCTTTAATAGTTAGAGGAAAAAATGAGTATTTAAAGCAATTAGTGTTAAAAGAGTATTCTACAAGAGTATGGGAATGATTATGACGGGTTGGTCTGCCGTAAAAAAAGATAGATACCTTGAGGTATCTATTTTTATTATGTTGTGGAGCAATTGAAACATTAGCTTTAGTCTTGTTAGTTTTGTTCGGTTTTGTAGTGTTAAAATGCCAGCGTTATTGAGTAGGTGCATCGGTGAGTCCATCAGTCTATACTTGCTGAAAATAAACCTTATTGCTTTTCTTTGAACCGCTTCTATTTTATTAATCTGTTGGTGGGTATATGGTAACCAGACAGGGCTGGCATAATCTAATACAGATTTGACGAGGGTAGTATAAGCTATTAGTTTTGTATTTGGTGGTGCGAGTTTAAGACGTCTTTTCAATAAGAAAAGTCTTCTATGGCTGTGCTAGTAATATTATCAGTGTGGGTATTCCATCTGAGGTCGTTTGAAATCGTTATTCCTAGATATTTGTGGCTAGAGACTGTGGCTAAGGGGCAGTTGTCAATCGTGTAAGAAAAGTTGGATCTGTGTTTTTTGTGAGTTATTGTCATGGAGACACATTTACCAATATTAAGGGACATTTGCCATTTTTTGCACCACGTGTGTACGTCTTCTAGTGCTAGGTTGAGAATTAGGTGATCCGCAGGAGTATTAATTTCCTGGTAAAGTACGCAGTCATCTGCAAAGAGCCTTAGTTTTACTTTAAATGAGAGGGGCAGATCATTAATGAATATTGTGAATAATATTGGTGCTAAGACACTGCCCTGTGGCACGCCTGACGTGACTGCTGCTATTCTAGAGGTGGTGTCCTGTAACTGTACAAATTGTGAGCGATTGGTTAAGTAATCCTTAATCCAGTGAACAATGGTGCTATCTCCAAGAGTAACTTCTAATTTACTTATTAATTTTATATGAGAAACACGATCAAATGCTTTTGAAAAGTCTAAGAAGATGAGGTCAATTTGTTTATGGTTATCAATGAACTTGGCTGCATCGTGTAATAATTCTAAAAGTTGAGTAACCGTTGAAAAGCCTTTTCGGAAACCGTGTTGTACAGGAGACAGGATATGAATTTTTTCTAAATAAATACTTATGTGTTTCAATATCATATGTTCTAACAATTTACACACAGAACAAGTTAGTGATATCGGCCTGTAATTTGAAACCATGGTTTTGCTGCTTGCTTTCTGTATTGGTATAATTTTTTGGGTTTTTCCATACTGCGGGAATAATGCATGATTGCAGTGATTTATTAAAGATTACACATAAATATTTAGCTACCCATTCTGCTTACCTTTTAAGGAAGATGTTTGATATGTTGTCAGGTCCCGAGCCCTTCTTGGTATCGATATTTATTAGTAGATTGAGCATGCCTTGCTCGGTAATTGTCAAGGGTTCTATTGGTGAATGGTCTGAAGATTGTATGGGTGGTACGATTCCGTCATCTACGGTAAAAACTGATTGAAAGTAATCATTGAAGAAGTTGGCGAGATCATTGTTGTCGTCAGAGGAATGCATGAGCTCATCATCTTTTTTTGGATTTATGTATTTCCAAAATTGATTTGGAGCGCTTATCAAAGATGTGGGAAGTATCTTTGCAAAGTAATTATTTTTAGCATCTTTTAGTTTACTTCTCATATCGCTAACAGTTACAGTCAGATAGTGTCTACTAAGAGTAGTTGGTGTCGTGTTCAGTTTTTTCCTTAGCCGTTTTACCTATCGTTTCGCATGTATCACATCACGTGTTATCCAGGGATTTAGTCGCCCAGTTTTTTTCTTTTTGATTGGTACATAGCATTTTATGCATGACGTCACGATGCTTGTAAATCTACTTCAAAGTGTTCCGATGTCAATGGATATGTTATCTGTAAGTGATACAAATGAATCATATTCGAAAGCAAGACAATTGATTATACTTGTGTCGTCAGCATGGGTAAAGTCAGAATAATAAAGCGACGCCTGTTGATGAGATTTATAGTCATTCACATCTACAGTGCAATAAATTAGGTTATGATCTGAGATGCCCTCCATTATTTCCATTGTAGTAGTTTCTTGCGGGAAATGATCACTTAAAAAAACTAAATCAAGAATGTTCGACGATGATGCATGTACTCGCGTGGGTTGGGTCACTATCTGATGTAAATTGAAATTGAGCATGAGATCACATATCAATTGCGAACTATCAGACTTGAAATGCATAGCTTGCCAGTCTATTTCTGGCATATTAAAATCACCCAGAAGGATTAGTCTGGCATTGGATACATGACTCTGCATATAACTACAAAGTGAAATAATGACGTCACTAGAAGCAGATGGGCTATGGTATACACAACCCGCAGTGATGGCACGTGAACCTATGGATAATCTGCAAAATATTGCTTCTACACCTTCAACTTCTGGAAGAACCTTGAAAGAGAGTTTTTTATTGACAAAAATGGCGACGCCACCACCACGTGTGGGCCGGTCTTTCCGTATTACCGCGTAGTTGGGGCTACCTATTTCCTGATTATGAATGTACCTATTTCCTGATTATGATTCAATAAGTTGGGATTGTAATTCCAACTTATTGAATCGGGAGCTTCAGAAAATTAAAAAAAAAAGGCAGCTTTTTCACTAGGGGTGCCATGCCTGAAGGAAGTGCAAAGCTAAGCAACATTCTTTGTTTCTCTTCAGTTTTCTTTTTCTTTCCTCCTCTCTTTCTCTCCTGCCCCGCCGCGGTGGTCTAGTGGCTAAGGCACCCGGCTGCTGACCCGCTTGTTGCGGCATCGAATCCCGGCTGCGGCAGCCGCATTTTCAGTTGAGCCGAAAATGCCGTAGGCCCGTGTGCTCAAATTTGGATGCACATTAAAGAACCGCACGTGGTCGAAATTTCCGGAGCCCTCCACTATGACTTCTCTCATAATCATATGGTGGTTACCAACAAGGCTAAATGTCTATGCTTGTGAAGCCAATGCTAGCCAACATTACTCAGTGCTGCTAAAGTGCGAACAGATACTATATACTTCACAAAGCAGGCTGAAAAAATATTTATGCATTACAGGATATCTCGAATGTGAGTTGACCAAGGTTGTAGTAAATGACAGCAGACACAAACGTGAATGACATATTTCGCCATTGGCCTACACCACCCATGCCCTCCCCCGAGCTTATTGTTTCGACGCTGTGTTTAGCACTGGTGTATTGATGAAGTCAAACATTAAAGAAAAACATTAAAGAAAATGATGGCGATCCCTTCGCATGCATTAGGTGCGGACAAAATTGCACAACATCACAGGCAGCTGTTTGGGTGCATCAGCAGGCAGCAATAGGGGCAGTGATGTAACTTGGCACTGCTGGAATTAAAGAAGCACTGACACGACTTTGAGGCACCCCAAAAGGAACGTTTCTTGTTTTCATGGCGTGTACTATCAACGCTCTCTACACATCGGAGCAGGTCAACACGTACAAGGCTTTACTCGTCCAGCATCTGCAGGCCAGCCGCATCACAATTAACATTATCACGACAACTCAACACAGTTTACTCTGTGTTTGTAAAATCCTGTGTCCTTCATGCAGCCCATATTGTAGAAATCGCTGTCATGGTATCTGGACGACATTTCACTTGACATTGTTTACGTGAATCACTCTCGTCTGACAGCAAACTGGCAGCTGCTGCTAGTATGCGGCGAGCTGCAGCTTTCCCGTGACGTCAGGATTGTGTTGACACGTCACTGCAAGGCCGTCTTCTTGATACCGAAACAGATGTTTTAAAGGGGCCCTGCAACACTTTCTGAGCACGGTCAAAAAACACTGCCGATCGGTAGTAGAGGCTCCCGACAACACTCGAGCCAAATATTATAGCGCAGCACGCGGCCTGGAATTCACAATAAATTATCAGTCAGCTAAAAATAGCTTTCCCTTCTCTCCACAAATCACGAAAATAAGCCCAGTAAGCCCATCTATCAGCCATTGGCTGATTTGAACATGGCGCGCTCAGTTGCTACAGAGGTCGCCGCAAGAAGCCGTCACTTGTCCTCGCGTGCGCGCGGGATCGCACTGAAAAAGCTGCGTATTCGAAGAAAAAAAAGTTCTCAAGGTCACGAGGGATGAGGGACGTTTTTTGTTCGCCCCTTCCTATCCCTCCCTGCTCAGCTTTCAGCGCTTTCGTTGGGACGAGAGAAGAGAGAATGTGATTGCAGCATGTGACAAATCTTCGTGATTCCCTCGTACTGGACGGATCTCATAAAATTTTTGTGGCGTTCAATTTGTGTGGTAATATGCTTTTTCAGTGAATTAATTCCATGGTTACTCAAAAAAGTGTTTCAGGGCCCCTTTAAGGTGGTAATATTGCCATGTTCCTTTTTCAAGTTTTCTTATCGCCCCGTTACACTGTATGTAATTCTCAGCGCAAACCGCGCCTGCAGTGTTCGAAAAGCTTCGGGACTGTAGTAGATCATTTTGTTAAAATTACGCCCACTTCGCAGATATTACAGATTATCCTGGAACCTGCGTGGCTGCTAGCAATAACGTTAGAATATTCAACGACTTGTGTATAAATGCCGACGCGCTTCACCACTTCAGTTGATCGACGGCCGACGCTCCGTTCACCGCTATCAGTGCAAGTCTGCTACTGTAATTCGACTTTCTATATACCGGGTGCACAGGTTCGCCCAAATAAACAGTTTGATCTTAACATCCAGTCTCCGGCCTTCAGCCACGTCACGACCCTGTGACAATATTAAAAACATAATCAATTCATTCCCAAGCACTACGACACTCTTCTTAGGGTTCTTGGCACCTGCATTGGTATTCAATTTCACTGCTTTCTAAAGCAGTACCCAGCTATAGGTTCAAGTTCGAACGACTGTGGTATCTCTATTGACTTTGATCATCTTTGTTATGCTGTCAGATGAGGTGGCACATATGATACAGTACCAATGCCGCGGCATTATTTGCAAAGTAAACTGCTCTGGAAAAGTTGTATATGTGTCTAGCTGTTCAGTGATTATACCAGTCAAACAGTGCTGTTTGTGTCAGCTCTCTGTTGGAAAGCATTGGCATTGTGCTGTCCTAGTGCTCTCAGCGAAGCATGTGCATTGCACCAACACTTCCTGAAATTTTTTGGGCATGCGTCATGGTAAACTGTACGTGGTTTGAACAAAACAAACAAAATTCAGCGGCACTGTGCTCGTAACTATGTCAGATCACTTGCAGGACTTTCTACTTGCTTGAAAATAGCAGTGATCTTGAGTCCTCGTGTAATCTGTGCTTTCACAGTCAACTCTTGCTTGTAGCTGCTGGTGAAACAAGGAGATACAAAAAGATTTGAAACTCGGCGGTCAAGCAAATGGAAGGTTAAGCTTGCGCTATGACTGGTGTCGATCAGTTTCCAGTCTTACATAGGCAGGTGCTCTTATAGATGTTTTCATGAAGTAATGCTGTGACTGACTCTGAGGGGTTGCTGTGGTATGATTGTGGTACATTCTTATTGATGTTGACTTGAAACTCAGAGCTGCCCTCTTTGGTAACATAGTCTACACAACGAGAGGCACGGAGGGTTCTGTGGCATCTCAAAGAAACTCTAGCTTCTTGCGTTACTTTGCACTTTGTATTCACAGTGCTGCAAAGGTGTCATGTCTTTCTTTGCAGGCTATGCTTAGAGCTCACTTTGGCATGAATGTGGCAGACTTTTGTGCGATGCTCGAGGCCATCTTGAGACGAAGAATGCAAATGCTTGAAGTGCCTCCCGTGCAGAGAGAACTTGCTTACCGCACGAAGGAGGCACTTGCCACGGACATGGCAGCTGCCCTATTCTGCCACAGGGAAATATTGGAGTGGCCTGCTCCGATTTTGGAGACGGCGTGCATCAACAAAGAACTAACATGTCACCTCAAGAAGGACCTTGTAGAACTGAGTGAGCTAGATGAAAACATTTAACATTCATAGAACAGTGTGCAGCCTGCTTTTGTGATCTAGATCTAAGAAATCTTGTTGCGTTAGGCCTGATATGGCATATATCTTTGCAGTGTGAGAACTGTTTTTTTTACAAACCTGTGATATAAAAGTAGTAGTCAAATCGGAATTTATTGAACGTAGGTATGTCGAGCTATTGTGCATATTTAACATTTATAAGTTGTAAAATCATCTTGGATGTGCCGTGCAAAAAGAACACTGCGGTATATCTGTATTCAAAGCGTTTATCGCCACCCTCGATACTATCTCAAATGCTGTGTTGCACGATTCTTTGCTTCTGCTAGGGTACTATTTCCAAATGTATTTTTTCTCATAAGACAGTGCACACGCATGAAAACTAAAAACTGGTGAAGTTGCACTGAACTGAGCAAGGCTTGAAACAGCGAAATCGGATGATTCTGAAGGCTAATATGATTGCTTGTAGGCCTTAGCTACGTGGTGCTGGTTGTGTCTGGGCCGCTTCTAGGCTTTAGCTAGGTGTTGCTAAGTTGTTTATACATTGGGTCTTGTCATGAGTAAGAGGGCACGTGCTGGGCGCTGGAATGCGGCGCACGTGTGCAAGACTCAATGGTGGGCAGATGCACCACGTTCACGTACAAGATTGGTTGGAAAGAGGCTCATGGCATGAAACCCTAGCCGTAATGAAAAATCTCGAAGGATGAGCTGTCACTGTGCATTGGGGCTTCAAACTGCGAAGATCAGGAAGGCCAGCATCGCTACCGCGACGAAAGCAGTAGTCCCGCTTGGTTCTGAGGCTGTCAGCAAAGAGGCCCGGGAAGTGGTCGTCGATCTCGGAAGACTCAAGTGTGGCTGTCCGGACTTGCCGCAACCTGTCACAGCAGTTCCTGGGTGGATCTACAGCTCTTCCGCTTCGAGCCAGAATGTATGCGGCCCGTACCACAATCGTGATGCCGTTTACAGGTTAGGCATAGCCTAACTAAGCCGGACGACGACGAAGACCGGAACCATCCCGGCAACGAGGTTGAGCGGCGAAGACCAACCGACAGCAGCCGTAGAAGGTTGAGAAGGACGTCAAGGACAGAATCGACGAACCATTGACACGGCAAGGTCACCAAGTTGACATGGCAAAGTCACGTGAACTGTAAGAACGTTTTGTAACCAAAACTCCATTTTGGCTAGAGAGAGATTAGGCTTAGGAACTGAACTTGACTCGGATTGATATTAGTTTTGGTTTCCTTGTATAGCTGATTATTGTGTACATGTTTGTTTTTGGGGGGTGAACTTGACTGCCAGATTGTTTGCCATTTCGGGTAATATTAAAATGGGTTTGCCGTGTTACCTCCGACTTGCGTCTCTCTCCCAACTCCATCCGCTGCAAGTGCTCCCTAGGTAAATTCGTAAAAGGTCTCAGCGCAGATTGCTTCGATTTAAACCACGTACAGTCACAGACACGACCTGGTTGCTGAAACTCCAGAGATAGGAAGTCGCGCTGAAATAAATATAGAAAGAAAGGAAAAAAAAGGGAGGCGTGGAGGTTAACCAGATGCTAGGATTCGGCGTACTGCCCTGCTCTGGGGTTGAGAAATAGGGGGCAAAAGCGAAAGAGATAAAAAATAAGAACAAAACATGCTCATAGATCTACGGGCATGTTGTGATTAGCATAGGCCTTCTATCGCTTTGAGGTCTTCTTGGAGCTGCTGTTGCCTTTGTCGTTCCCTATTAGTATTCCATTGTTGTATGTACTTGGGGTCCTTCGCTCACCGCCATTGCTTAGTAGCCATTTGTTGGGCATTTGTTAGATTGCCTTCTTCATTTTTAATAAACCAGTGGTGAGTAGCGAGGTTCACTTTGTTTTTGTGGCACACATTTTTTTTTATGTGGATAGTTTCGTGATACAAGATACAAGGAACAATACAAGGAGTGCATTGATTTTGACCGTGTTGATTCCTTTAATGTGCAGCAAAGCTAAATTCATAGTTGTTTTGGCAATTAGCCCCCTCAGATGTGTAACTTACATTATGGGAAAGGAACCTATGTCTTGTAGCTTAGCTGTGATAAACAAGCCCCTAAGTAACCCTGGCTTGTGTCTTCAAATTTTGCAATGGCACTTTTGCTAACCTCACTGCGAAGCAGTTGTGTGGTGCGGTGAAGCAAACAAAAAAAGTTTTATTATTGTTGTGCAGTGTCTGGGTTTCTATCATCTGTTTGATTTTCATTATGATGTTGCAGCAAGCTCATGGTAAATGAGTACTAGAGGCACAAGAAGCAGACGAGCACATCTGTGCTTGCCTGGTATGAGCGCGCTGTCATATGAAAACGAATTCCTACCAACTCTCGCCGCAATTTTTAGTACTTCGACAATTTACTTATGTCAAATTGCCATTATGTATGTCAAACTGTTTTATGATCCTCTTCTTATTTCTTCTGCATTATGTGTAAATCGGCTCATTTCTAGTGGCCAGCCCTTGTTGTCTATTTAATGATGTATTTGAGAACATCTGTGCCTAGTTATTTGCAGTGCAAATTTTATAACAATAAACTGTTATATTGCTCCAACTAGTCTGTTGAGTGAAAGACACAGGTGATTTATTCATGCAGTTTTCTGTAACTCTTTCAGATGCCACCCATGCAGGACTGTCTGTAAATGTGTCGAATTGATACATTACTTCAAGGCACTCAATATTGTAGCAAAAATAATTTCATAATATGTTAGCTTATGTGTGTTATAGTAACTAATCATAATTGAGTTGTAAATAAGGGGAGATGCGTATTGAAAAACGTAAGTTTTTTTTCTCAAATCTTTTTTTTTATTTGCTTTCACAAGTTTGGTTTCTCAACTTTCACAGACACACAAAAAACTGAAGATTGTAATTAAACACGAAGTAGGTTAAGATTGCTTTTAAAGAGCACAAAGTGGCTACTCCAACCAAAAAGCGCTCATTGTCTAGAGTACCCAGGAATCGCCGCCTGGCTGCTTGCCATTGCATTTCGCATGAGGAGTTCACTGAAGCCACATGCTCAAAATAATGATAATGATCACCAAGCTCTCATGGTGGAAGAAATTATATTAAAAACTTTGCATATCTTTGCCGCATAGATTGTGCTTCGACTCATACCTTTAAAATGCGTTTTTCTGAAGTTTTATTTCTGTGTAACTTCTTGATTTTAGACGTTTTCTTGGTACCAGATGAGGATGAAGTTTTGCCCACATATTCCTTAACATGGGAAGGGTACAAGTATCTCCACTGAAACTTTATATTCCCTGTATAGTTACTACGAACCTAAAGCGATCACTTAGTATGGGCTGATGATTCTAAGAATTCTCACATTAAAGTTTTTCTCGTCCATTAAAATATTTTATGCACACCTTCTTGATAGTTATTTGCATTCTGCACTTAATGTGGAGCAGTATGAGCCATTAATAGCTCAGAACCATAAAAGCTTAAAGGCATAAAAAGCTTGTCCAAAACAAACTGTATGTTACACATGGTCATGGCACAAAACGAAAACTGTGAAACGTACTATAAAACTGTTTAGATATTTGAAATCAGCATAAAAGTCTTTATATACAGCAAAAAATTTCATTGCCCTAGGCTACAGATAAATGAAACATTCTTTTTTTCAAATTGCATCTCCCATTAAACATCTAAATATCCTGAAGCCATTGATGCTCTCTTTTGGTATAAATAGAATGAAATCGCAAGCTGGGAATATAGTGTAAATTCATTTTTGATTATGTCCATTTTCAGCAAAGAAAAATGTACTTCTTGCATGGCTCGCAGGAAGCGGCATGTTGAAGACCTTTTGAACATGGTAGTGCTTTCAGCAAAGCGATCATATGCAACGGTACACTGCAAAATGAAGTTAAATAAAGACAAATTTTTTATGTCGGAGGTTCACTTCATCGAAAGCTCAATATATCTTGCTCTTTCTTAGCCCCTAGATGATAAGAATAGCAAAAGCTAGTGGTATACACAATTGTGTACATATTTTTTCAAAGGGTCAACGTAAAGCCCTTCACTGTATATAAAAGCCAAGTGTTCTTGTAGCACTGGTCTATGATAGAACAGTGTTGTCATGCTGAATGTCTCTTGCTTTACTGTTCCTGTCCCACTAAAAGTGTCGTAAATGCTAAAGGAAGAGAGGCACGCTCTGTCACAGATGTCCGAGTTGTTGCATGGAAAATCGGGAACAATCAATAGTCAGGTGTGTGGAGAGAAACACTCCTTTCATCAGCGATCTTCTAAGAACTAGGCTGCTGTGTGTAACATGGCCTGGTCAAATATCAGGTGATCCACCAATTAGCTAAGGATCATTGGAATTGCTAGGGGGTGCAAGAGGGGCACTACACAGCTTCAAGATCGCGAAAGGCTTCCTTGTCTAATGTATGTTCTACAAGATGATCTGGATGAAAGCTTATAAAGGTGAATAGGTAAACTCTGCTGACTTCTATAGGCCTTAGAGCAACAAGTTGTCAACTTTTTGCATTCTCAAGAGACCTGGAGACATGTGGAGTTCTTACGCGAGCTTCTGTAAGACGTGTTTAATGCTTTGAACTATCTGTATATCAAAGTTTTGTGATTACTTTTGAGATCAATACATCCAAGTCAACTGTAAGAGAATGATGAGATAATGTCGGCTGGTTTTTCTCTAGTAAAGATGTGTTTCTAAGGATTGGCGCCCATAGCTATGTACCTTGTAATGGAGGTGGGCGGAATTTGTGCAATTTTTCTGTGGTTTATCTGTGATGAGTGTTGAAGATCGACTAAGCAGTGGCCGTGTGATGTTGAAGGTGTAGCCAAACGGATAAACTCACCAACACACATAGCTACATATCTAGATTCGAGCTGTCAGTCTAGCAAACACACATTTAGAAATGCTGGCATGCATAGGCATGCCCACATTTCTCCACTAGGAGGAGGTCAAGTTTCACCTTAACTCCCCCACTTTCTCACTACATTCCTATTGGACGAGTCGGAACAAAAAACAAGCTTTGCAATGGATGCAAGAATGAAATGAAGCAGTGATGTGCTGTTCACAACAGCCTGACTTTGGTGCCTGGCTTTTATGGGACCAAAGTGAGAAGTAGGTAAACAGTTCTGGCAGTGCAGCATCAGGCCGACGTCGGCCACCGCCATTATTCCCAAAACCTGCGTGGCCATGTACAGCACACTAAACACTTGACTGAACATGTTTGACTGAGTAAAGGTGTGCCGGGTCTGTCCCCCCCCCCCCCCCCTCCAGCTCATGTTCACGCCAATGGCAGCGCGGCGGCTTTTCCACAAACATGCACCTCTCATATCTGGTTATTTTTCCACAGCATACCTCGTTGTTGTGGTGGTTTCAAGTTTCTTCGGCGCGAACCGGTAGGTAAACACACCGCCAGGGAGGAGACAAGAAAATCTAGCAAAAAGGAAGACCCGAAAGAAAGGAAGCGTTCGTCCCTTTCTTTTTTCTTCTTTTTCCCCCGTTGTGTGAAGGCTCAAAGTAGAGGCGAGGTGGTGCCCCGCGGGCTTTGACATCCGGGGCCGCACCTCGGTGTGAGCGACGGCGCAGCCCGAAGGCAGCTACATCGCGTCTTCCGCTCACGTCCGCCTCGGCGACCTGGGCGCGCTCTCTGCAGTTTCTGGCAGGTTGCCGTCGTTTGGCGCTGCGCCGTTTACTTTGGCGCCGCAATGGGATTAAGGGCCCCGTCCGCAGGAGGCATTGCTAAAGTGCTTGTGGCAAAGGAGGGGAGGGCCGAACAACTGTCCCCATCGACGTCGCCTCCTGGATGGTGGCCTGCGGGTCCCGGATTACGTTTATTGTTGTCCTGTTTTTTTGTTTCATATTCTTCTCGTTGCTAGCCAATGTTTTGCCGTTGAGTATATTTTCTTTGTTTGGAGTTTCTAGATCGATCATTGGTCGCCAAAAAAATGTCCCGGCCAAAATTTCGAAATCGGTGCCGGCCGCCATTGTTTAGTTTAACTTTCTTGTTTCCTGTACATTCTTTCGTTGCTGAACGTTGGCGAAAGGAAAGCAGATACGTGATGTTTGTGTAAGGCATTACTTGTTAGGACGGATAAATATAGTTTAGGCAAGGCTGTGCGAGGTTAACCAGAGGGCGCCAGTTACCGTGCTTTAAACGCGTGCCGTGCTGTAATCCTAATGGAATCGAGAACTATGCAAAGTCTTGTGCGAGGGTGTGCATGACTGTGATGTTATAAACTTTTCTACCCTACAGCAACTCCTCCCGGCCTATTTCAACATATTTTGCGCGTTTCACCAGATGTTATGAGGCTGATTGCCTCAGACCTTTTGCCCTCTCAAACGAAAAATTTCGGTTATCTCCTACGGACCTACTCGGACATATTTGATTTTGATTGTAGGCTCTTAGGTCAGACCTCGGAAATCGAGCACCGCATAGATTCTGGTGATGCGGCTCCGATCCACAGGCGTCCTTACCGAGTGTCTCCTTCAGAGCACCAAGCTATTCAGGTTGACAAAATGCTCACAAAGGGCATTATTAAGCCTTCTTTGTGTCGCTGGTCGTCCCTTGTGGTCCTAGTTAAAAACAAAGACAATGAAAAAGATAGAATAATACCTGGCGTTTCTGTGTGGACTATAGGCACTTAAACAAAATCAACAAAAAGGATGTATATCCGCTGCCTCGCATTGATGATGCTCTAGACTGTCTTCACGGTGCAACCTATTTTTCTTAGACCTGCGTTCCGGTTACTGGCAAATCGCAGTAGACAACCTCGACCGTGAAAAGACCTCCTTTGTAACGCCTGACGGTCTCTTGTTATGCCTGCGAGTCCGCAGCAAACGTCCAGCCTCGGAAAAAAAGAAATCTGTGTCAAGGCCAGCACTCGAGCCCGCCTGACGCGATGAACAGCTCAACGGCGTCAACACGCGACGGCGCCTTTCTGTCGCCCACGTGCAGTGAGTCACCTCAGCAAGCGAGCCGTCGAGTAAACAACCGGCGTCTTCCTGTCTGGGGGGGGGGGTGACGCAATGCCTGGCGACGTCACTCGTCCTTGGGTGCAGCCACCTGCAGCGCAGCCTCTCCAGATTCGATGAGAAAGAATGACGCGGCCCAGCGGCGACCCCATTGGAGGATTCCGACCTCACGACCAGCGGCGCTTCTGGTTGGACATTTGGGTTGGACCCGGTGCATATAAAAAAAGCCCTGCGGCGCGTCGAGAGCAGACCCCTTTGACAGCAGACCCATTTGAGAGTAGAGCTATGTGTTAGAGAGAAGAGCTCGGCTCTTCGCGTCTCTGTCGGCCCCAGTGCCGAATTTGTAACGCCTCTGTATATATGCTGTACATAAACCTGGTTTAACTCACCGTCGTCTCGTCCGCTCGTCTATCAGCTCTGCGCAGAAGCAGTCGCGAGCTGAGAAACCTACGCTACCGAACGGCTGGTAACCTTCCCGGCGGAGTTCGAAGCAGTGGCGCCTTCGGGACCGTGTTGGCGTCGCCGTCTTTCGAAACAGTGGTTGCAGCGGTGAGATTTCGAGGCGCCCTTCGTAACGTCGTCGGAGGTGCGCGTCGCAACAGTGGTTGCAGCGG